TTTTGAACGATTCACAAGCTAGGACAAAGCTAGAATATGGATCAGTTGTATGGGACCCATGTTATCAGAGATCAATCTATGCAATAGAAAATTGTCAAAAAAAAATTTTGAAAAGATTACACTTTAAGAGATTCGTTGATGTACCATATGATGGTTACAGTAGGTTAGATGTAAGAAGAAAATATTTTAACTTAATGTTTTTGTATCAACTTCTTCATTATCATGTGAAAGATGAATATCTATTGAGCCTGATAAATATAAGAGTACCAGATTTGACAACTAGACAGTCACAGATATTGACTTATGATACACCAAGAACAAATAGGCAGTTTACCTCACCTATAGTAAGAATGTGTGATATAATCAATAAAACAAATTGTGATATTTTTCAAAGTAAAATAATTTTATTTAAGAAGGAGGTACAAAGTAGATTAGGATGTTTGGGTTGTTGGGTAGTTTGTAGTTTTAGACATTCTCTGTAAATGCAAGATGTAGAGGATATTGAATAAATAATAGCTTCTTTGTGATAAGGCACCTTGAACATAAACCTCACTATTGATTTTAAGTGTAGCTGTCGGATATCAAACAAGCCACTTTCAAAAAATACCTACTAGTTCTGTTGGATATCTTCTATTTTTAAATAACATAATTTTTATTATGTATTTTTGTGCTACTCGAAGCTTGTTTAAGATTATCACCCCAAACAACCAAACCATAGTTCAATATTGACTCGACCAGGACATAGTGTACTGTCCTCAGAATATCCAGAGTAAAGATGTATCTTAATTCATAAAACTTAAATATCAATTTAAGTACTGTATTAGTAACATATGTAATATGCTCTTTCCATATAAGATTTTCGTCTATATATAATCCTAGGTACTTCAGCATGTGTGGTCTAATATACAGTTGTATTATTAAACTTTGATAGGTTGGCAAAGTGCAAGAGAAAAATAAGAAGGCAACAAATTTGGTTTTTTCTAGATTTAATGAAAGCAAAATTTCATTCAGGCTATTAAGGGTATTGAATGCGCCGTTTAAAATATATTGTAATGCACGTCGAACTATACAACTACCCAATAAGTTAATACTAATAAAGACGCGAGGTTCATCGCGATCATTGCATTGGGCTACTGTTGAGCCGGTCGGCACTGGATCCTTCATCACGGCGATTTAAAATGTATAGAAAAACAGGCGGAGGAAAGAGCCATGGGGTTTGCTGCAGGTATAACAGAGACAGACAAAATGACAAGAAGAATCCATTAAATTTCTACAAAAAAAAACTAGATAATTTTTGGAATTCTGGTTTGCGCCATTGTATTGCTAACACATATAAGAATGGCGCTAACTAAAAAAAACACCATAAATTGATTAAATTTCTTGTTTTTTTTCAGTTTAAATTACATTTTTGTAATCTTTCGAGAACTTGTTTCTATTATCGGATTTCTAAAAAGATAGCGCCATTCGTCTCTATATTATAAATCGAATGCAAAAAAGAAAGTTGATATAACTTCAATTGTTAAAAAATAAGGTTCGCGCAGGAAAAAATATTTTGGCATTGAGGCGCATCCAATACCCTTAAGAAAATGTTCGTTGAACCTTTCACATATTTGGCTTGTGTGTTTTATTTTCTTGTGTAAAATCACACGATCAAAAACATGAAAAAGATAAGGCCAAAGTTAAAACGTGTCTGTATTATTTTAGCCCCAATTCGCTCTATAAATGAATATTATCATCACAATTAAATTAAACAATCCACCACTAACATTTATACAGGGTGTCCCAAAAAGATACCGACAAACTTTAAGGGGTAGTAGGGGACATCAAAACAAGTATTTTTATGTATATAAACATATGTCCGCAAATGGGCCATTTGGGCTGTAGAGCAAAAAAACTGTTTGATACTTTTATTCTTCGCAATAATTAAATCACTGTTTACTTATTAATTTTGCTTTATTATCAAATAAATTATGGTTTACAATAATTGTTCAAAATGTTGACCATTTACTTCAATGCAAAGATTACACCGTCGGGTCATTGTGACTGAAAAGTTTAGTCTACGAAACACCTGTTCGTAATGAGGAAGATCTAATAGCAAGGATACTGGCGAGTTGTACCCATGTAGAAGCTATTCCCGGAATATTCCAAAGAGTTCGCGAGTTGAACAATTATTGTTAACCATAATTTATTTGCTATTAAAGCAAAATTAATAAGTAAACAGTGATTTGATTATTGCGAAGAATACAACTAGATACCAAACAGTTTTTTTGCTCTACAGCCCAAATGGCTCATTTGCGGACATATGTTTATACAAACAAAAATGCTTGTTTTGATGTTCCCTACTACCCCTTAAAGTTTGTCGGTATCTTTTTGGGACACCCTGTATATCAAATCTGGACTAAACCTAACCAAATTACTCAAATCAACATTTTTATTTTTATGGTATTTTAAGTAGGTTTTAGAGTATCATTTATTCTTTGAACATAAAATTAACTGGTTTGAATTTGAAATGAGATCACTCTGGCTATAATAATTTAATGTTTATAGATTTCTCTCTGTACAACTTTATTAATTAATTAATTCAATCAATAGCCATATAATCTGAAGGTACAGGGTGATCTATTATAAATGTCACCCCCTGCTAACTTGTCCATTTGACGTTTTTAACAGAAAAATATAACTTCGCTCTGCTGCTCTTTTTTGACGCACCCTGTATGCTTAAAACTGAGTTAGTTGAAAACTTTTGACAATTTCTTAAAACTTTTGTATTTGACACTTCTGTCAAAAACGTCAAATGGACAAGTTAGCAGGGGGTGACATTAATAATAGATCACCCTGTACCTATTATCTACTTTTTTGCTTTGTGTCAAATAATTTTTGTTAATCAAGGAACTGCAATCAATTTGAATAATTGTTAAAAGAGAATATAGGAAAAACTTGAGTAATCCTAATAAGCCCTCTCTTATCAGTTCTAGGAAGGAATCTAGATTCTGAATCATATTACAAGTAATTTCAGCTTACACCTACTCCTCGACCCATACAGTGGGTAAATATATTGATGATAATAAAATTAGTAGTATTCAATAAATTGAGCAATGTAGGTATTAACAAAAATTTATATACGTATGTAATATCAAATCTCGACCTTAACCAAATTACTGTATTCTGTATTCAACATTTTTATTCTTATGATCTTTTGAGTTTAAAGTAGGTTTTAGACTCGGTCTTAGTTTTTTAGAGTAATCTTTGACTTATCTTTTTACTACTTATATTTTGAACCCCCTTCTAACACTTTTTGAAAGATGAATAATAATAATCACAAAAGTCTGCATGTTAAATATTTATTTGGTGATTCTCAACTAATTATTCTAGTAATCAGCTTGATCAAGAATACTGCAAATAGTCTATTAGCGTAATAAAAAAGTAGAACATTCAAGCATTATTCATAGAGAGTAATACCTAGCGTATACAATCTACATTAAATACCTAGGTACATTCATTCAAAGATGATGACATTTTTGAAATAACTATTTATAGGAGAAAGATAATTATTGCAACTACTCAGTCCTATTCAGTAATAAACCATTTTTACTTAGGAGCGAGCTATAGATAGGTACCTTTAATTAACCTCAACAAGCAAGGCTGTCCCACAAAAAGATTATTAATAATCTTTCACGAGACATTCATGCGATCCTGAATAAACAACTGCCAGCCTTATCATATAAAACGTGCTAGATTCGCAAAACAAAATAAGTTCGTTTGTTTGTCTTTAAAATTACCACTTCAAAATTTGTTTGCAAATTATTGTGTAATGTTTGTTATTCTAATTATCTTAAAATTAGTTAGCGTAATATTCAGTGATTATCCAAACTCTAGCCATAAATTATTATTATGTCCATACATAACACTCAAAAATAAAAATAAACCTCCTCACAAACCTCTTCTAAACTATAGAAGGCCTTTAACTTTAAAATCGACTTTACGCATTCTACAAAACTCTTGATATCATAGAGAACTTTCCACTCATCTCGTAAAAATGTTTGTAAAGCTTTGAACTTTCACACATTAAAGAGTTTTTGCAGCCCTGCTTCTTGGTATAGGCGATGATGTCCATTACGTCAGTTTTGCATGTTGGAGTTTATAGAATTTTCATTTATTACCCAGAATAAGTGGACAGTATTCAAACTAACTATATAGCTTCTAAAGAATCGAGTGGCCATCCGGAATTTTTTTTGGATATGCTTAAATAACACAACCTTTATCTATTTTTTACACTAGCTGTCTAGTATTAAAACCAAGTAACATACATTTTAAAATATTGTGTCTCTCTTAGTAGAGTTTCTCGATGTTAACATCTATTAAGATATTATTTTTAATTATTATCGATATCAATAATATTAATTAAACTTGGTATAAAAATCCATTGATAAAATCCGGCTAATTTTATAAGTTTACATTATAAAAACTGTTCACGAGATAATTGAATAAACATCCGCATGTCATAAAGAAACGTGCTTCAATATTAGAACAACTAAGTATTTCAAATTGATTACATCACATATTTTTGTACTACATATTTTAGTGTAATTATTAAATTAGGAAGAAATTTGTTGACTTCAAGGTCTTGAATAAAGCTAATTTTTGAGAATAAAATTATAAAAATTGTTGGTAATTTATATGTATTTTGTTATTATGCTTCTGGTGATTAGTGTAGCAATTGAATATTTGCAGAATATATCTGTCTTTTGATTTGCCACGATTTTTATGTTTAAAGCCAATCTGTGTCTCTGTAAAGAGAAATGTATTCATATTTAGCAGAAAATAAACAAATCTTTTTCAGATTTAGTCTGCAGGTTTGAATATAAAAGAGCTTAATTGGTCCATAAAAATCATGATATTATGGATTTTTGAAAAGAGACCTTCTGGAAGCTAATCTAATTTTACATTTTTGACTTTCACTTCTACAATTTGATTCATATTATAGTAAATTTCGTTTCCAGATGGAAAATTCATACTTGAATTGGAGAGAGCCAGAGAAGGGGAAAGAGTGTCGTGGGTATCGGTGCCAAGAAAGACTTTTTGGCCTCCGCCGGGTACAGCTACTTCCACACCTGCTTACAGGCAAGAAAGCAGTACATCACTTAGTGGTAAGGATTTTCTCTAATTTTCACATTAAATGCTTCAAAAATAGTAAAAGTTACGCTTGCATGGATGCACAAAAGAAAATAGTCCTATTGTTTCACGCAAAAGTACTATGTGGCACACTACGTTTTTTTTTTTATACTTGATTTATTATTTAGGACACGTTTAACGATGCGCGTCTCCACTAATTAAATCTCTTGAGATTTTTCTTTTATTGTTAATTAACCAAAATAAAAGTTTCAGATGATAATAGCTCAATACAATCGTCCCCGTGGCAACGGGATCATTCCTGGAAGCAAACCACTCCGAGGAGGGATATCTCGCAGGAAATGGTGCTGTTTTTCTGGAGACCCAAATGGAAACGACAGTGTCGGGGGCGAGGCGTTAAGCGGAGGCGCCCGCTATCAATGGTCGAGGTTAAAGAGGAAGAAAGGATTTCCCCGATCAAGGTGGAGAAGGAGGAAATCAGGAAAAAACGACCTCTCTTGACTATTGTTCAAATGTTGTTAGATAAAAATTTTAGGACAAGGTAAGTGGTAGGTTCCAGTTAAATTTGTTGTGTTTCAACAGTGCAAAATAAATGAAAATATGATTTTGCGGTTTCTAGAGTGAGTCTAGTAATTTCAGATGTAAAGCCAATACCCTTAATTGCTTTGAGTTCTTTGTGAGAAAAATGTTGATGAAACTTATTATACATCCCCCCAAGTTGGTACAAATTAAAGGAAAACCGGCGATCAATTAATCAGCCATAAGACAAATATGTTCACCAATTAAGCGAATTCACACCCAGAAATACCAAAGTGACAAACCAAAACTCTTATCAATAACATGCGTATAAAGCCAGTTTTAACATCCCATGATATTTATTTTTGCCCTATCATTTCCCAATCATTTGTATGTGATCTACTAATAGTAAATTCATTATGTCTAGTACTCCACCTAGACCAGAAACAGTGGTTTCTCCAAGAAAACGCTTTCTACGAGAAATGGAACGAGAAAGAACCCCTTCAGCTTCAAGCAGTCCCACGTCCGACCGGCCAGGTTCCAGTGACGACGGTTCAACGAATTCAGCGCAAAAACGTAGCAGGGTCCGTCCGCAGAGCAATACTGCCCCACCGGCGGCTAGAACGCCACCAGGTGCCATAATTAAAATTGAAAAATCCGAAAATCTAACTCCGTCTCCCCATAATGCTCCGATTCGAAGTAACGGCGTGGAAGAAACGCCTGTAAATACGACCAATAAGTCTTCGAGAAATTGTAGTTATAGGTAACTGTTATTCTTGGCTATAGTTCATTCAAATGTTATAATACTTTTTCTTGTAGTATAACGTCATTGTTGGCTGACGATCATCACAAAAGCAGCCTAAAAAATTCACCGAGTCATTCACCAAATCGATTTTCGCCAGTAGTTACCCAGATGGGCTCAATACCCGTTCCAGGGGCCAGGTACTGTTCTCCTGTAACTTCCGAGGATCGTATCTATTCTGAGAGTGTCGATAGGCTAAGATCAATAGAATTATCGGTAAGTTAATGCATATTATATGTAAAATGTTTTTTGAAGTATAAGATAGAAGATGGATGGCCATTTTTTACTAAAAATTTTAGTTGGCACTTGCACAAGTAAAATATTAGGTATTCTTTAAATATTTCAGCAAGTAGAAAAATGTGGTTACCCACCCACATCGTATCAACAACCCCCGCCGCAACCGTATCTAGGACCCACTCCCTACATGTACTCTTTTCCACCGTTGCCAGCCTACTACAGTGCACACCCCGGAGTATACGGACGAGCTGGTTACATGGTACCTCAACCTGTGTTCCATCCCCATGCCCATCCTCAAGTACCACCCACACACATCTCGCACCCTGTACATCCTGTAGCTCATCCTATGCCCATCAGGAGGGACATACCGAGACCTGCTCTTTGGACACGGGAAGAAGTTGTTAGGGATACTAGGGTGCAAGTGAAAGAGGAGAATAATAGTAGTGCAGGTGAGTGGGATTGTTGCATTTTGTAATAGCTGTATTTGTCATAAAACCTAAATTGAACTTATAGATTTGGTAAGAAAATGTACCATACATCATACGAAAACTTTTATTTCAGAAAATATGTATTACAATTTAAATAGATAAACAAGTTATTATTTGAAGGATTAGCTAGTTATATGTATGTATTAACAACATTTTGACTTAAACTTGATTTGTACAAAAATGCAGTCTTCTTTCGGACTCATCTTGTTCAACTTATTAAATTTAAAGAAAAATTACCAAACTATAGAGATATGAATTGAAAGAGAGATATGAATTGAAAATGAAATAAATAAGCTCTAATCTTGTTCCACCACAGAGTTTGCAGTCAATTTGTACATAGCAAACTTGTTCTTCAAAATCTCGAATTTCTTCATGACGCAAACGGTCTCGTATCGGTTGATCAGGACTTGGAGGCGAGCCTCTCGCAACGTGTCCTTATTCGCCTTCAATTCTTTCAAGAGTTGCTTGCACGCCTTTGTATCTTCACTTCGGGCATCCAAGAGGAACAGTTCCTTTTCCATTTGACTTAGTAGATCTGAGGAAGCCGAGGAGGAAACGCTATCATTCAGAGAATCCATTGTTGTTGGCTGTTTTGGGTTTTTTTTTATTTTCTTGGATTTGTTTTTCTACTTTGATAAGGATTTTTCTTCTTGTTGATTCTAATTTTAGTAATTTTAACAACCGATTTTTGCAAAATGTTGGATAAAATTAATGTCACTAATGAGAGATGACAGTTGACAGTGTCTTGTCTCAATGACAAGTGTCACGTTTCAAAAACTAGGGCGAGTTCGGATGTTCGTGGGGTGTCGTCACCATTGGTCGTTTTTTATAACCGGTCTCTACGCAATTAATAGGCTTCGAGAAGGAATGACCATTCACCAATAGCGAGAACCTAAATATTGGTTTATTCAAAAATGAGATTAATGTTTATCAATTTCAAACTTTTAGTCCCGCCGACATTTTGTGCCCAACCTCTTGCTACTTTTAAATATGAATATATATCTAGGATTTAAATGGACGCCCATCATAAAAAAAATTGAAAACAACGTATTTGATGTGCCTAATTATAATCATCTGATAAACTTTTCAATTTTTCATGATGGATGTTCATTTAAATCCTATATATTCCTATTTAAAAGTAGCAAGAGGTTGGGCAAAAAATGGCGGCGTTTTCCATATATGAATATATAGAATTTTAAAAAACCAATCAAAAAGAAGACGGCAATTGTCGCCACTGTGGTAATAGTGTCACTGTAATCGCCAGCTGATGTAATTTGTCTTTTTTCAATCGTGTTCGTTGAAGAAAGATAAAAATTTCATTTTCCCCAAGGATGATACACACCTACAAGATTGCTTATCAGTCTTGTTTTTGGTAATCGCCACCATATTGGTGTCACCATTTCCGACGTCATAACTAAGTCGTCAGCTGTTTAAAGAGCCTAAACTTTGTTTCACGAGGGTTCATACTTTTGACATAATTTGCCTTCCTTTTTTAATAAATAGAAATTGACTGAAACAAATTAATGACGTCAAAAACGTTCGTCGGTTCTTAAGCCAGAAGTCATCCATTTTAATTTGTCAAAAAAATTGGATATGTCATATGAATTAATCTACGACAACGCTTTTTTTCAAATTATGACGTCTTCGATGTCAAAAGTATGAACCCTTGTGAACGATCTCTATGTCAAGGCGAGAAATAACATGCTACTTACGTCACAACTGGTGATTTGGCTCGGGTTGGGGGGGGGGAGATTTGTTCCACACAGGCCTTATGAGGATAGGCTATCCTGTAGTAGTAGTAGTGTCTATCATCCTTGCATTTTCTTGTCAACATTTGCTTGCTTGTCATTGGCTGCGTTCACCAGCACTCAACATATTCAGTGATTAGTAAGCGGCTTTGTTCCAACAAGTGGAATATACAAGGTAGAACAGTTTTGGTTGGCCTAGATCGGATTTTCATATGTTTTCAACAAAGCCGCTGACTAATCACTCAACATGTTGAGGGCTGGTGAACGCATCCAATGTCAATATGTAATGGGTGTTTAGCATGATACTGTTTAGTGAATGGAAAATGACAATGACCGACATAGAATGGTGTACCGGGTGATTGTCTATTTATTTTTTACTACACCTATCTCACCTTTTTGAAGAGATATCCAGAAATGTCTAATGGTCTAATCAAATATCAGAAACTTTGCAATGAAGTTATGGCGTTTCCGATTGGTAGATTCAGTGCGCACTGAGTGTATTCGCATCCTTTTAATCGAACTGTAGAAGAAAAAGACAGAAATAGAAAAAATTGCACTAGTTCCGCACTAGATCTACCAATCGGAAACGCCATTAGTTAGAAGTATACAGGGTGTGTCACAAGAGTGTGATAAAGTAAAGTTAAACTTTTTTAAATGGAACTCCCCATATATTATTGACCAATTGAATTAGCCTTTCAAGCCTGATTCTAAATATACTAGGTATTTTCGGTTTATTTCTCATAGTCCGGCCTTTGAAAATCCAATTTTGAAAAGATAATATGGATTTTTTACATGAATGATTATCTTTATATTTTGCTTGTGGTCTCTATACTGCACCTTTTTCAATAAAAATGCAATTCCACCCTTTTTTTCTTATTTTCTCCCGGACTATGGGGAATGAACCTATAAAACCTAGTATACATATTTGGAATCAGGCAAAAATAAGACGGCAATTGTCGCCACTGTGGTAATAGAGTCACTGTACTATATATTTTGCACCCACACCTATCTCACCTGTTTGAAGAGATACTAAGAAATGTGAAATGTGAAAGTAGTAGGTAATATCAGAAAGTTTTCAATGAAGTTAGTTACAAGTATACAGGGTGTGTCACAAAAGTGTGGCAAAACAAAGTTAAACTTTTTTAAATGGAACACCCCATATATTATTGTAACTCTATTACCACAGTGGCGACAATTGCCGTCTTATTTTTGATTCGTTCTTTAAAATCCTATATATTCATCTGGGAAACGCCGCCATTTTGTACCCTACTTCTTGGTAATTTCAAATATGAATATACAGGATTTAGGTGAACACCCATCATAAAAAATTGAAAACAACGTATGTGATGTACCTAATAATAGTCATCAATAACATTGTTTTCAATTATTTTTTATGATAGAAGTCCATTTAAATCCTATATATTCATATCTAAAATTAGCAAAAAGTGGGGCACAAAATGGCGGCGGAACATCTATTGTCGCCACTGTTTGTAAAGGTTTATCAAATCACTGTAGAATGGTGGATCCATTGGTAAAATTTGATGAGAATAAAAACGCAAGGAATTTAAAATTGGGAAGAAAATGTGGGAAAAGTCAGTTTCATTTGCAGAACTTCGCTATGGAGAGGGGAGTGGATTATTTTGGCAGCAAACAGCTTCCGAAAACTAAACTTTAACGTGGATTACTTTGTATACTTGGTGGGCCGTAGATTTCCCTTTCTTTTGCGAGTATCCTTTCTGATTTTGTGTATCCAAATTTTGACAAATGTAGGATTTGATGGAAGCTTATGTTAAGACGCGTCTGCCAGTGAAAAGAAAATATTTTTACGAAAAGACACACTACACAACACACAATCACCATTGTTAGGAAAAAACCTTAAAAAAAACGAGGAAATAATAAGCCCTGTTCCAACCGACATAAGAACCGTTCCAGAACCAGTAATTTCCAGTTGCCCACCTATTTTTCAATAAGTTGAACGCTTAGCCTATTCGACAAATGAATTCATCGACTGGAAATTACCCTTCTAGAACGGTACTCATGTCGGTTGGAACAGAGCTATAGTTTCCAGACAATCCAATCCACGTTTTCAAACCATTATCTCGCGCCAAGAAGTTATAACGTCATCTGACACTGTTTTAAACCAGTTTTGAAATACCACAAAGCTGAATTTGGAAGTGAATTTTTTACTAAATATCAATTTTTATTTCAGATATGCCACTGAACCTGTCCAAACACTCTGGCTAGAATAAAAGTGCCTTTTGGATAGTAAGACTACAATTATTTTTGTCCTACTTGTGAGCACAACAGTATTAGCGTTAATTTTTGAGGGCAGAATCAAAACTTAAAAAATATTAAACATGTCTTAGGGCTGGGTTTATTCACCTTCTGATAAACTTTAAGGTATACAATCTGACGGATAAAAACGCAATCTATAATCCCATTGGTTGGCCAGTTATGGTCCACCAATAGAATTATAGAACAGTAAATTTATCTTGCAGATAGTTACCAGGAAGTTTAACTGAATATGAATAAACCGCGCCTTAAATTACCAAACATATGGGATCCATTAAAAAAAAGTTGAGGTGGGTTTATACAGACACATAACATTAGGCTATGTGGAAACCGCTTTATGGCGTAAGTTTCAACTTTCATGTCGTGCTTCCTTTGGCATATTTCACAGTCTTTGGTTTTTGTTCACAAAAAGCAGAAGAGGATATAATGTTTTGTGAATTAAGAAAGAGCATTCCAATATTGTATAAAACATTTCAAACCTGTTGAACAACTGAGTTGTGTAATAGCTAAGTCCAAACAAATTAGAGAGATACCGGTAAACCATGCTGCTTCTCAACTTAAAGCGGTAAAGTTATAGTGCTAGAAATTGAATCGCGCATAAAGTTAACGTCAACATAAGGTAGTAAACCTAAATACTGCATAATGCTATGTGGGTTACCGATTCTCTCTCTATTTATTTGAAGCTGGATCCTAATAATCGTCAAATGATGGCTAATATTTTACTAATGCCTCTGAGGTGTATCAAAATTGAGGCGTTTTTTTTTTTAACTAAAATAACTTCAAACTTATTTCACTTTTTGTAAATTCTCATTATATCCACTTCTTCTCAGTTTTCTGATAAATGGGCAATTTCCTTTGTACTTCCTTTGGTCATAGTTAGACGAAGATTATGTAAAAATTTCCGTTATAGAACAAGAAATCGGAAGGCTTGACTTTCACAACTTTAAAATTAGAAGTTTTCAGGTCACACCTCTAAGTTTTTTTTGGGAGGGATTTCAATTTTTTCAAAGGATCCAGCCTTGACACGTTAAAGAAGAAAATCAAAATGTTTGAAATTGATTTAAGTAACATCACGCATTGTATATATATTTATAAAAATGATAATTATTCATTCCATCATATTGTTGCAAAAAAAAAAAAATGGAAATATAGAATTTCAAATACTATAATTTTCATTTTTCAAGTCCATTGGCAAATGTGCAATCAGTGAAGTTCTTAAAACATCAAAATGTAGATAATCAATTTTTTTTTTGTAAAAAATATAACCCTTCCCCATTCCACCTGTATATAAATATATTTTTTAAGTAAAATAAAACAAGACTCGTATGTAAAATACATACATATTTCCATAGGTTAAAAACCTAATTATGTAAATACATTTAAATGCTGTTTTTGTATATAACGTTGGCATACCTAGTGGTGTTATTTATTTTATATTTTTGTTTTGAGAGAAAGAAAACCCCATTGGGCTCCTAGAATATACATGTTTTTTGCTCTGAGCATTTTTTTTTGTATATAATGTATCTGTAAGGGAATATGAGTAAAAAAAAATGTACAAAGTCTATTTTCATATACATACCTAATAAACCGTGTAACCCAATAAAAAAAAGACAATAGTTAAGTGTAATATATTTTTTAATTTTTTTAAGGTCGTAAGAATTTGTTTGGCAGTGGTTAGGTTAAGCCACAAAAATAATTTCTTATGACCCTACGGACTGGTTCATCTTGTATTTTATAAGTATAAACCCTATAATTAATTTAACATATTTTTTTTTATGTTAATATTGTCTTTGTGCCATCCAGCTACTTTAATTTATATATTTTAAAATAAAAAAAATGAAACAAATCAAAAACTGAATCTCATTTTATTTTTTTATTTGTTTTAATAATCCAGTGCTAGCAGTATTCAAATTTCAGTTTTCACAAGGCACTGGATCTATCGTCATCCTATTTAAAATTACTCTTCACATTGGCACTGTTGTGATATACATATGACTAAATAATATTTTTGTAATTTGAAATAAAATGCATTTTTCAAACTCTACTTTTCGTTTTGTATTGTGTACAGTGAATAAACTTTTAAAACACCAATAAAATTTTGTTTAAATGTTATTTTCTTCTACGACAGTTTGCTGAGGAATCCGACTTCCCATTGAAACGTGTGTACAAACTGTAACAAAGAAGCGGCAAAAAAAGTGGTTAGTTTTCAAAAAAAAAATTATAATTTACAAAAACTAGAATCTGATTGACAATGCCAATCTAACTTCGAAAAATCACAGACTTCGCTTTTCTTATACAGGCAAAGCCAGTAAGTATTTTGGAATAAAGCCATGTTGCGTCGGTGTTATTTCATTGTCCGACTGGACTCGGACTTCATTTTATTTAATGCAGCGAATACCTTTTCTTCTGTAAACTCTATGTATTCAGTGCTATTGATGGTTCTTGTTTCAGGAACCAGATGTGGAAGGACGCTATGAGATTTTCTTTCTATAGAACTGTTGATATTTCCGTAATTTGCAGTTCAAAAATTAATTTTCTTAATAATTTGAGTTGGTTGGGGCTCAATTTTAATAATGAGTTTTAGCGGTTAAGACAATATGATCGCTTTCGCTAATAGGCATTATGTTTTTTAATGTTATAAACAGACTTTTTTTTGTTGGTTAAAAATAAATCCATAACGACTCCTGACTGTTTCTGTATCTACACTTTATTTTTTCCCAAGATAGATTTTGACATTGAAAACTTTGAAACATAAACAATAACGCTTGACCCTGATTAGTCGCAAAATGAGGTGTTTCTATAGGTTGACATCAGTTTTACAATAGCGGCCAATAAGTTGCATTAGCGGCATTGTTTATGTTTCAAAGTTGACAATGTCAAAATCTATCTTGGAAAAAAATAAACCATAGTCGGAAATGGTACCATTTGATCCGCATTTATATTTTTTTATACATGTCTAGAAAATCTTCAGTTTTTTTGTCCGACCCACACAATTTATGAGAGGAAAGTTGAAGTCTCCAAATATGAATGTAAGGTTCTCAGTAGAAAATGCACTCTTTACATTTGTAAATTGCAAGTTTCGGTGGTATATGAACAAAACATAAAATAAACTATCTCCTATAGGGCACTGATCATCAAAATCCAAGAAAATAAAAGCTAAAGGGGCCGTGAAGCGGATAATTTCCTGTGGTTTCGAAAAAAATAGGGAAAAATTTCGACATACACAGGAGGCAACAAATAATTAATTTTTGATTGAAATCAATTTCCAATAAATTATAAGAATTTAGAGAATTGGGGCCAAATTAACATTAACGAACCAACTAAAATTGATTACATAAGTATTAATAGCTGGACTGCTCAGCAAAAAGGATGGTAAGAGAAATGCAGCTACCTCAAGAGCTGCAGATTGGAAAAAGGTAACAATATTATCAGTGACACTAGCAAATATTAGAGGAGAAACCGTATTTGAGGATAAAGATGATTGTCTTTGAAATTATTAAAATCTGTGGATATTCTCTCTCTATTTATTTGAAGCTGGATAAAGGATAAAGACGATTAAAAGAAATTATTAAAATCTGTGGATATTCTTGCTCCACAACATACAGTTCCTGAAATAGGTATCAGAAATAAATTAATGTTCCCAGTTTGCTTAGTAAATGAAACAAATTTTCAGACTATAGCATGTAAGTTTTTTAATATATTTGAGTACATAATATTATGTTTTCATAGTGAAAGCAAGGATATTGATAACAATACAGAGTAGAAATACAAGAAAAAAAAAACACAAAATACATTAAATTCTTAATTTAAAAATAATTTAGTAACACAAAAAACATTAAATTTATGAATATTAATTCAAAGAAGTAGATGTAAGCAAAGCAACGCCTCTCTCATAAAAGCTATGTTGATCCTGCCCAGGAGCTATATTAAGATCTACAGTATAAAGCAGCTCGGTCCTTGTAGAATTCAAATAAACAGCCAAAGACAATTTACTTCCCGATTTATCCTCTTGAGTTTTGGCCCAACGAAGAAGAGTTATCGGCAATTCAGACATAATGCTCGACGTAAGCAACAGTTGGTTATTTTTGCATTGAGCGCCTTGCAGTTTCAACCCTAGAACAAAAATCTGTTAATAAAATCCATTAAAAAAATTCCAACCAATCCTTACCAACAACAGCAAAACAATCATGAGGAATCATCGCAGTATCGTGGGAATCCATAATGGTAACATCCAACTGAAGCTCTTCGAGTGACCAACTATTTGCTTGCGCAACACATTGTCTTGTGGCTGTAATCCAGGCTTCAGGATTTAGCAGGCCTCCTAGCCAAACTGGAAAACTTTGCAATTCTTTTGCACCCGAACTGGATACAACTTGTGATATTTGTTGTAGTTGCTTGATTCTCTGGCTAAAGTCAGTAATCCACTGGATGACTGTACAACCCTTGGGGACAGTGTAACGGTGCCAATTGGCTGGAATTATGCCTCTCACTAATTCACTTAGCATTGTACGATGGTAATTGGTTTGTTTCTTTTCGCCCTACAACAATAATAAAGTGAAATTGTTTCATTGAATAAATAAAAAAAATTGTGACTTTATTAAATACATCATTATGGGGACCAAAAATTTCAGGACTAGATAATAGAACCACATGTCGCAAGAAGAATGGAAAATATCAATAGTAACGGAGTAGTGGATGCTAAGGTAAGTCTTATCATCAAAAAACCAGTAAAGAAAAACTTCAAGTCTAGAAAAAGGTGGCCATTTCACAATTTCAAATAATCTAACTGTGAAAAACTCTAAAAATTTCTCTATAAACCCATTAATTTTGACAATTCCGAATATCCCTCGAATATGTAAAATTTTCCCCCCTCAAATCTCGCCTAGTAGTACAAATTGTAGAAAAAAAACTAAAAAAAAAGCCTTAGTTTCACAATTCTGGCATTGGAAATTCCTACAAAAATCCCAAACCTAATAAAATGAATAATCTTTCAACTTATTCTTACCTGACAAATTAGTAAGACATCATTCAAATCGTGAATAACATCAAGCAAAAGCTTCGAAGCTGAGTTGACTTCTCGTTCAAAGTACCTGTAGAGTGGGTCTTTAATATTTTCAACGGTTCTCCTTAGAATCTGTAGAGTTTTGGGCAAAAGTTGAAGCCAAGTGAGCGCAGAATTATGCAACGTTTTCATCCAAGAAGGTCTACCATCAATTTGGGCGTTCGGATCTGTCGGTGACGATTCATCCATTTTATAAGCCAACTCATCGTCGTCTTCCAACTGTTGCATTTTGAGCAACTTACTTATCAAATCAGTACCGCGAGTAGTCAAAAGTACTTTTTCCGCGTTATTAGGTAAACCCAGCCAAGCAGGAGTTTGTCTGTCGGCTAAACTTTCAATCCACTTCAAGAAATGATCTCTTCTAGTACCATCCGGCATGGTAATGTGCCTGTTACCATTTGGCCCATTGTCTATATTGGCAACTAAAGCAAAATCAGCTTCAAAACTCCTGGACGTGAATAGTTTATTGAGGAATGACTGTAACAGTCTTTGATCGAAAGCATTATCGATTTTGCCACCGTAAATTGATTGGGACAAGAGCGTAACTAAAGCATCCCACGGTACTTTTTCTGGGGGCAAATTAGTCCTACCCATTGCAGTAGCATCAATCCAAGTATCCAAAGTGTCGCAAGCCACTCTTAAATCGCTCTCACTAAACTCATAGTATTTGGCCCAACCCAATGGACAGTATCTCAGTCTTTCTTGTACTATAGCATGGAACCAAGCGAGCAAGAAATACAACCTGGCACGTTCGTTGGGTGCTTTCATCATTCTACTTGCTGGCACAGTACTGAAAGTCCTCAGCAAATTAGCCTTAATGCCTGGCGGTGGTTCGAATACAAATATTCTTCCGGCCCTCAAAAGATTCACAGGTAATTTTGGATTAATTTCCATGGTAAGGTACAGTCTGAAGCTGGCGTGGGGTTGAAGAGAGTGCAATTTTTTTTCTAGTTGCACCAGCCATTGCGGTGCCAAGTGGACGTTTTTCAGTATGACCCATCTGCCGGTTTTGCAGGCCATGTTGATGGCGCGGTCGGCTTGATTGAAACCTTCGGCCGAACCAATAGCGATGCTCGATATGGGTTTGTTCAGTTCGGCTGCTAGATCGTCAACACGACTGGATGCGTCGAATCCAGGTACTGAGCATAATAGGACTGGAACGCTTGCTAAAAGAGAGAAAATAAACAGTTTATTTATTTATTTTGTTAATCGTAATGAGGCTGTTCCAAGTCTTGTTGAAATGGTGGTCATATTATTAAGGTTTTGGGAAGGTCAAACCAATGAATATTCAATGGCACCTGATGTGATCACCAAGTTTAACAAGACAAGTAAAACGTTGCCCATTTTCAAGATTTTAAACAAACATTTGTATTAAAATATCTATTATAACAAGATAACACAACACGGGAGGTAAATCACCTTGGAATTATAGTGTACAAGCATTCCAGTGGAATTCCAGATTCTGTAGTTCAGATACTCCTCATTTTTATATTAGAACGACGAGAGGTTCAAAAATGAGTAGAACTTAGATTACTTATGAAACGTACGAGTAGTTCGAAATTTAATTCATTTTCAGGTCAGAATTTTTCTTATCAATGAGCGAATTACTCACGAACCTCTGCAATTTATTCATGAAATTTATTCATTAGTTCAATAATGAGTTCATTTTTAATTCAAAATTTTCACGCATTAATTCAAAAACACACTAGTTTTCAGGTCACGTCATATTTCTACAGTTTTTTCATGCAACTTGATTTGGAGCTTCAAATGAACTTCAAATTAGCTTTTTCATATTAAAAAGACTGATTCATTATTCCTGAGAGTTTCAAGTCACTGTGATCATTGGAAGTATTTTGTACAAGTGATTTTTGCAGATTTTAATCATTCTTGCATGCATTAACGTAAGAAAAAGCTTCCAAATTCATTTTGAATCTTCAAATTAACTTTTTCGCAAAGAGGAAACTTCAATTCATAAATCCTGAAAGTTTCAAGTCACTGTGATCATTACCTACTTTGCTCAAGTGATTTTTGTAGAATTCAATCATTTTTACATGCATTAACGTGAGGAAAAGCTCCCAAATTCATTTTGAAGCTTCAAGTTAACTTTCCAACAAAAAGGAAACGTCAGTCGTCAATTCATAAATCCTGAAAGTTTCAAGTTACTGTGATCATTAGAACTATTTTGCACAAGTGATTTTTTCAGGTTTTAATCATTTTTATATGCATGAATGTGAGAAAAAGCTCCCAAATTTAATTTGAAGCTTCAAATCGACTTTAAATTAACTTTTCGCAAAGTGGAACCTTTAGTTCATAAATCCTGAAAGTTTCAAGTTACTGTGATCATTGGAAGTATTATGCACAAGTGATTTTTGCGGATTTTAGTCATTTTTACATGCATTAACGTGAGAAAAAGCTTCTAAATTTGAGATGGAGCTTCAAAGCAACTTCATGTTGTCTTTTCCACACAGAGAAAACTTCAATTCATAAGTCCTGGAAGTTTCAAGTTACTGTGATCATTAGAAGTATTTTGCACATTTTAATAATGTTTGCATGCATTAACGTAAGAAAAAGCTTCCAAATTTAGTTTGAAGCTTCAAATCAACTTCAAATTCACTTTTCCACAAAGAGGAAACTTCAATTCATAAATCCCGAGGGGTAAATCACTAATAGAAATCATTGTACACTTTGCTGGGAATACTTTGGAAATACCTAGAAATACTTGGCAATAGGTACTCTGGGAATACCTAGGAATACTGGGAAATCCTTGGAAATACTCTATACATAGGATAGGAATACTCTACATGAGAATAATTTGGAAATATATGGAAGTACTTGTAAATTTCTATAACTTCTAACCTCACTTTTAACGTACTTTAGGGCATTTTCATTGAAATCTCAAGAATTGCGTGCAGGTTCGTTACTAAAATATAATCTATCTCAAATTTATAAGGAATTTACTCGCGAATTTATAAGGGACTTAGAAATGTCTCTTAGGTAGAATCCAGCGTTTTAGTCAATTTTTTCTTAGGCAAACCGTTTTGGGATTTAGCCCAAACTAAGTATTTTCCAAAGGGACACCCTGTATTATTTGGTCCCAAAAAATTCGCCTTTTTTTTCTCTTCAAAATGATGTGTCACACTATGCGTTTATGACGTAAACTAACCCTTGAAAACGTAAGTTGGCCTTGGAATTATAGGTATTTCTTAGGGTATTAAAGTGCCCACGAGCAAAATTGAACAAAATAAAAAATCAATACCCATTTCCTAATCTGAACTTGATAAATTTAATAATCTTGATAAACCTAAACAGGACGATGCTTCAAGATGCATTGTTGTTCGGTTTTAGTTTTTTCGAGATATTCTAATATAATGATACTCAAGAATGTACTTGATATTAATGACATATAATTTTCTGGAATATTTAATTTTTCGTTTTGCTAAGGCCATGCAAGAGACAGGACGGTCATTGGTTGGTAACATAGCAAAAAAATGAAAATCAAGAAATATACACTTTGTTGGTTCTTTTCCGACCGAGAAAAAGACGATTATCAGACACTGATGAATCAAGTGATTCCAGTATCTCAGAAATGGAGGTGAAGAGTAAATTGGAGACTGAAAGTGAACCTATGTTAATTATTCGATGAGATTTGGCAGATAGGACGAATAATTGAAAAAGTGGAAGAAGAAAACTTTAAAATACAATTTCTTATGCGAGATTTAGATAACTTTATTTGTCCTACACCTGAGAATGCCCTATGGGCCTATATCCATGAAATGATATAGCCCTTCTTCCATCTAAAGGCATGATTACATAAACATACAAAAACGTATAAAAAACTTAAGCAGGTCTATAACAAACAAACTTGTATTTACTTGAACGATTTTCAAAAATGTAAGTATGTTTGATTATGCAATATCGAGTGCAATATCGACTGTAATACAATAGGTACTTCGAATATATTATGTAATGCATTTAGGTAAAATTCGTCCTTCTTTTGCATATATTGAGTTTCCTAATTACCTGAAGATTTGAAAATAAAATAGATATAACCTAGGATAACAAAAAGATAGTAGGTATTTGAAGACCTATTCAACAATTCAAGAACATCTCTTCATAAGAATGTAATAGAGGAAACTATTCCTATTTTCATTTGAAGGACACTCAATGGCAGTTTATTAGTTTAATGTCCATTGAATTTGATTTTGACCCTAATTTTCCATTACCTAAAGCCTACAGTTGGCATATTATGTTTAGATTATTATAACAATATCGAGGAGTAAACCACTAGTGGAAATCATTGTACATTTTTTTGGGAATCACATAGTAATCAATCAGGAATACATATAAATCACTTGGGAGTCCCTGGGAATCGCTAGGAATCTCCTAGTACTCCAAAGGAACCACGTAGGAATCCATTGGCAATCGCTGAGAATCATGTTGTAATCTCTAGGAATATAATCTCACGATACAGCATACCGGTCAGTTGTGTATTTGTATTTGCCTTTAACATTGAGTTTTAGGCAACAGTGAGTGCTAGACAATTTGAAATTTATTTAATATCCCAACGAGTTTCCCAATAACTGAGCCAATAACTGAACCCGACACTACGAAGAGTTTAGAACTTGAAGAAGAAGAACAAGACAAGTTACTATGATCATTAAAAGTATTTTGCACAAGTGATTTTTGCAGATTTTAATCATTTTTGCATGTATTGCTCCTCTTTTTTATATCAAAACGACTCATCAATAAGTTAATTGCTGCGAAACTCGCTCCGTTCGTCCTGCAGAGCACTAGGATTCCGTTAAAATTGGGATTCTGGTATTTTTCAAGGTGGTTTACCCCTCAACACAACATGACCAGCTTACCTTTAATTTCTTTTTCAATGATAACACCAAAATCGATTTCTTTCTCAGCAGCAGCCATAAAGTCGACCCCCATAACAGCGGCTACAAACAACGCCCCAGCAGCAATAATCCTGTCCGGCCTGAAAGCTTGAATCACCAATAGTTGATACATGGCAATACCGATGGGACTCAGTTGCTTTTCTTCCAACCACAGACGCGGAACGGCTTGTTCCGGAGCGCTTTGTTGAAGCCACGCACCAAATTCGGGCATCTCTTTGATCTTTTCCGGCAGTTTTTTGAAAGCGGGCAACCTAAAACAAAGATTATAAAAACACCAAAAAAAAAACACGAACCAAATTCTTACCGGAGTGATAATCTTGTTAGGGCTTCTTGTTGTTCCGAATTGAGACCATCCACAACAGGTCCGGTAAAAGAACTCAAAAGGCCTTCCTTGGCCCTCAAAAAGAAACTGAATTCTTGATCGAAATTTGGCTCATTAGGAAGACCTTTAAGGCAAATTCTACATAGAAGAATTGCGAATGTCATCCTGTCGTTGTGCAACATGCCTCTGGCAATTCTTTCGTAGACTGCTTGGAACAAATCAGTTGTAATAATGTTGAGTCTTTGTTGGTAATCAGAAAGTCCATCTAGCTTAGGGTTGATTAACAGGACGCTGTTAAACATGTCCAGGAAAAATTGCAAGGAGTACTGGTACAAGAAGTGGACTTGATTGAGACTGTCCATGGTAAAGTAAGTGTTACTGCAAGCTTGTGATAAAGGCAGATATTGTTGGGACACAGTTTCAATCTCGGAAATGACCTTGTCAGTTTCCTCAACTTTTTGTCCAATTTCTGCGGCCTCTTTTTTCAAAGTCTCTAAAGTCGTAATGACACTGTCATCATCCAAAATCTTCCCTTTGGCATCATTAAGCGCTTGCAACAAAGATTTTTCCAACTGCCTCAACCTCAAATGGAATTCACCTTGTAATTTAAGCAAATCTGAGCGTTTAGCGTCAATATCAGGCCTTTCGGCTTTTAGTACTTGATTCAAGCACTGACTTTGCAATGAGCTTCTTGTAACTGTGAAGTTAACAAATGTTACCCTAGAGCAAATATCTGGAGGAAATTCTACTGTAGGATCCCGTGTGGAGAGGAATATGATAAAGGATGGTGACAAATCGATGTCTTGGTCTCCTAGTGTTATCAAGACACGTCCTCCAGTTCTTCGCAGTTCTCTGTTCAATACAGGATTTAATATGGCATCGTAATTTTCAACGTCTTGGACTAGAAGTGGGTTACCAAACCGAAGAGCAGATTCCAAATTTTTCCTAAACGAATCATCCAGGAAGCTAGTTTTTGTTATTTTTTTGTCCTTATATTCATTCATTATAAACTCAGTGGCCTGGCCTGATGGATCAATAATAAGCGGATACCTATTGAATCTTTTCAGCATGATAGCATTTTCAGTGCACAAGTCGTCCGAAGGTAGAGCGTTGGCTTGCCATCTAAGTCTTTCGTCTGGATTAGACAGATATTCAGTTCTTGCAATATCAGCCCTGTATTGTATGGCGGCTTGGGTCAAGTGCTGACACCAGGTTGTAAACAAATTCTGACGATAATGTTGATCAAAGTAACCTCCGTAAGCTATAAATGCTGCAGATAAGAGGACATCACCTACAATAGTTGACATTTGGGCTCTGAAGGTTTCACTGGTAGCTTCCCAACGTTCTCGTTCAATAACCAAGGATTTTAAGAGTGCAATTGATCTGTCGACTTTAGCTTGCACATTTTCCAAGTCAGTTTTAATAGCTTGCGCTTGAGCAATCAATTGCGCATATTCTTCTTTGTAAGAAGCTATACTTTGTTCTAATTGGCTGATGAGGTTTTTGACTTCTTCACCCCGTAACTTGTTGGTTTCAGCTTGAGTTTCCAACGAATCTAATTCTTGACGCAAGGGTTCTACTTTTTTCAACATGTCAGCGTACTGGATTTGAGCCATTGCCCATTTTACTAGAGGGCCGCAAGCGTTACTCGCGTGATTGACTTTTTCGAAGTTGTAGTCAGGATTGCTGAGGTATTTGGCTTTCATTTTATCGCGAACATCATCACTGTAAAGGAAAATAAATGATATTTATCCTATTCACAATCAGTAGTCCATAGGTGAAGGTAAATTTATCACCTTTCCCTATCAAATAGCACTGAAAGGTGATAAATTTTACCTTTACCTTTCAACATCGGATCGTGAATAAATAATAATCAGGCCTATGATGTATCCTGTCCTGTTATTTTAACGGCTGTGTTAAGGCTCAACATCTATTTCCGTCTCTATTTTGAAGTATAGAATAAACAGTGACAGATAACTTAACGCTGCCGTTAAAATAACAGAAAATGATACATCATAGGCCTGAATATGTATAAATAAATTGTTACTTAGATAAAATAATCTATCTATAATAATTCTAAGCTACGTACATTTGGAGTTGCCATACAAAATACAATATATTACAACATGCACATACCTAATGTCTTCAGTGTTGAAATTGTTGACGACCGTGTTGATGAAATTGTCGCGCATGATCACGGCACGTATAGACTTCCACTCGCTTGCATTTTCACCAAGCAACAGACAAATTGATTCGAGTGCTAACTTTACAATAGCCGGTGGGTTCGCCATAGAACGGATCTCGACCAGTTGTTGCTTTTTGATCGACTTTACGGCTGTGTAAGGGGTAGAAATAATAAGAAAAAAAATAAGCAAAACTATAAAATAAGCTTTTTAAAGTGCAATAATTTGAATAGACAAGCAAGAAGTTGAGGTTGGTTTCTTGCTTATTTATTCGACTATACTAGTAAGGGGAGTATAGTTAAGTTTCACACTTTGAATCCAAATGAAGTGGGACACACAAAACGGTTGACTGAAATTTGCTGTACAAATCTCCCCTATTTATTCATTGTATGCATCCCACCAAAGAATAATAAATAACTATGATCAAAAAAATAATTCGAGGATCCATCCATAATGCTTCAAACCTAAATACGAAAATAAAAAGCAGCAGCGGTACAATCATGCTTATATACTCTGGTAAATCAGCTAATAGAAAAAAGTACACGAGCTAATACATAAGGCGTGTAGGGCCTTACGTCAAATTATCGCTGCAGAAATTAACGATGGTGGCGATGAAATTCTCGCGCATGATTACTGAACGTATGGAACGCCACTCATTGGCATTTTCGTGCAGTAACAAACACACGGACTCCAAAGCCATTTTTACTGTTGCCGGTGGATTCGCCATTGATCTGACTTCGACTAGGTGCTGTTTCTTTATAGATTTTACCGCTAAGAAGAATTATCAAATGAAAAACATATACTTGGATTAATTTTGAAAAAAAAAAAAAAATACAGTGGAAACAAATGACCAATTAAGATTTTGTCAAATATGTAATAATATTTGCAGCGATGAGTGGGACTGACCCTCGTCATATTTATTTATTTATACCAAAATATAGCTCTGTTGATGGCACCCAATGTTTCAATGCTCATTGCATCCTGCCCAGACTTTCAATAAATCAAGCTCAGACAATTACATTGATTGTTATGCCCTCATACATGGTTTATTAAAAGCCTATGGAGATGCAAACCACTACCCATAATACTCAAAATAACTTCTAGATTACATACAAACTCCTTACCAGTTTGTGCATCAATAACAGCAGGTTCAACCTGAGCCAAATCCGCCATAACCTCTGTACGTTTCTGTTCAATGTGCACAGTTTGTTGAGCTAATTGCTGTTGAATTTCCTGACTCTGGACCTTTTTCTTTTCCGCCTCTTGTTGATCCTTGACCATCTGTTTCAGTTTAGCGTTTGCCGCCTCGTTTTTGGCTTGCAACTCTCGAGATTTGACTGCCAAACTTTTTTGCATTTCTTCCACTTGCTCTACAGTCTCGGCGATCTTGTTCAAACCGACGTTAAGATGTAACTGTTGCTCTTCCAAGTCGGAACGTTTTTCGTTGTGTAGTTTGACAAAGTGGTGAATGAAATCTAGGTAGTGTCTCGGTGTGATTGCCATAGTTCGTCCACCTCGCTTAGCCAATCTTACATTTGCTTTATGAAGTGTTTGATGAACATAGACGCAAGCATTGATAACAGCTTCTCTATGGTTGGGGGTTGCTGGTACAAACTTGCAAGAAGCTGGGAAGAAGTCAGGCGATTTCCATGTTGGTCTGTCCAAGTCCAACCGATTTGTAAACTCTTTACCAACCTAATAAAAATAATTAAATATCTCGCGACTATAAATAACTTAAATCTTACTTGATACAAAGCACCATCTGACCAATCTCCAAACCAATTTAGCACACATCTGTTGAACAAGGCTGGCGATGTGGCAGCCCTGTCCTTAAGACCATCAGTAGAAGGATTCATTGTGAAGACAACATGCAAATTACGCATTACTTGTTGAGTGAACCATTTGTACAGTTCGTCACTTGAGTCCAGCATAAGGCCTAGAAAATATTATTTTAAGAAAGTTTTAAAAAAAAATATCCTTTATCCCAACCTTCTCTTTGTGCACCTTCTTTACACTGAGTCATCAACGTGGTATATTCATCACCTTCAAACAACCCAGGCACTTCACCATTGGCCAATAAAGTGTTCATTCTTTCCAAAAAGCTTGAATCTAACATGTTTGATTCATCCAAAATAAAGGCAATTTTTTCGTCTCTACATCCCGATCTGCGTAGCACTGACCTCAAATCTTCATCGAAATCGTCACCAGTGTATTTATTATGAACCTACAAAAAGAAAATTAATTTCATCAAAAGGCCTTAAATTCGAACTTAATTACCTTGATTTGGAAAATAGACAATCCATTTAACCAGGCTACAAATCGGGACAGAGTCGTTTTACCAGCTCCAGACACACCAATTAGCAGCAAATGCCCTTGAGGCTGTCTAAATATCCTATCAATCCTTAAAACGTGATCCAAAACTTCATCAAACAACACCAAAGGCACATCCAACTCTTCCTCATAAAACACTTTGAGCCTAGCTTTAACATACTCTCTAAGCTGCTCCCTCTCAACAGGAATATAATCTTTAGACAACCAGTTACTGTACAAAATAGGCCTTTCAAGAGCTCTTTCACAATTTGCCGAAGGGAAGTGTTTCAAGGCAACTGAATCAATATTTTCATTAGTCCATTGGCGTTCGGAATTTTCAACTAAACGATCTTGGAATAGTCTTAGAGCTTCGTGAGCCCAAAGACGCACTAAACCTTCTACACTGAGCGAATCGAGTGGCCTAATAGCTTCACAAATACCTCTAACCCAACGTGTCATCTCACGAGGCGAATACACATAATGAGGTTGCATGTCTTGCGTAAATCTGTCTTGTGATGCCAAATAGAATTCCACCATGGCATTGGTGAGAGGTTCTGCATAGCCTTTGAGTCCTGGTGTTAGTCGAAGCATGGCTCTTGTGAAGGTGCCGTAAATTTGCTTCAGGGAAGTTTCTCCTGGATAATCTACATAGATTACAGGCACGTGCCGTAAGAATCTGTGCGAAAGTGGTTTTCTTCCAGGATCAGTGGGCGGATTACAAGCGCCAACAAACTGGATACGTTCCAAAGATACCCAGGTTTGATCTGAGGCCCTATAAAAACCTTTTTGTTCTACAATTTGACGCAAAAACATAATAACCCTTTGAGTGCCGTAATTGTCCATATCAGGTAAATTGATTTCGTCACAAAATAGTACTAGCCATTTGCCTAGCTGTACTGGTGCGAGTACCACACCGTTTGGTGTTTTTCTGTATTCGCAATAATGATCAAAGGTTTTTAATAGAAGCTCTGGGGTTGTGGCCGAAGAGAAATTAAGACCCACAACTTCCATGTCGGGCAAGGCTCTTAGAGCTGAGAATAAGGTCATGGTTTTACCTGAACCAGGCGGACCACAAAGTACCAGAGGCTTATGTTCAGCCAACCAAGTATATAAAAGCGATTCGTGACGTACAGTATCTAGAGTGGGCACAACAATATCAGGTGAAGCCACTTTGTGAGTTTCGACTTCAATTTGTGGTACTTTATTGGACCACGGTGCCCATTCACCTTCGATGGTGACTTCATAATCGATTATGGGCATGTTGCTGTCTGGAGGTAGTGGCACTGTAGTGATAGATCGTGCAAAATCTCCTAGTTCAGATCGGACTTTAAGTTTGGCATCTCCGGCAAAGCTCCATAAGACGGCGTAGACTAGACATTTGGGTATGTAACGTTCTAGGGTTTCGTAAGGCAGAGGAAAGTCGATGTGTGAGTGGTTATAGGCCAAGACATTTCTAGGGAGAAGAAATTGTGTTGGGATTTGGGGTGATTTTAATTGGTTCTTACCTAACGCTTTGATTCAACATCGAAAACAAGGAACTGAGAGCTCTGAGCCGTGTAAAGTCCATAATATGTTCCTGTTCCATAGCATGTTCTAAACATCTTATAACCAAACCGTCAGGTTGTAAGTAGGGCTGGAGTAGACTGGCAACATCTTGTTGCACTTGCAATGTGGGCGATATGTGGTCTTCTTTATTGTCAAGTTGTTTCTTTCCAAAACTATCATCTTCACCTAAATCAGTATAAATATTTAGCCCAGTGAATAATATATAAATGTTAGGCTGTCAATAGTTTTTTTTACATTTATGAGCAGTTAGTTATTATATAGTTACAAGTAGGATTGTTGCGGGTCTTAAATGGAGTTGCAAAGAAGGTTGACACTATTGTCGGGACTAATTATATAATAAGAGATGGGAAAATGGGTTTTGAGAAAGCCAGTATTTTACAACATTATTGCAAAAGCCTCAAATATTTATGTTTTTTTAATTTGCTAAATCAATGAAAGGGAGTCTCTAGAAGGGCTCTAACAACCTCTGTAAGCCTTGCTACATGCTTCTAGAAGGGCTGTTTAAATAAAGGCTATAAACTAAAAAGAGCTTGAAAAAAAAGTGTATCTAAAAATGTCTTGAAATAACAATAAGTTAAGGTTGCAATTTATACTATTTAGTAAAACATAACATGCAACCAAGAAATCATCAAATATCCCCTGAAAAACACTATTTCGTGAATTATTATTGTTACTGTTAATCCTCTCCTTCATTACGACAAAAAATATATTCAGATATTATAAAGGCGTTAACATGAACAGGCAACGAATATGAGTTAGTAACATAATAAATAACTAAAGCTTCATTTCACTACCTGCTACTACAACAAAGTCTTGCGGACCTGTAACAAGATTTTAAGCTTTCAACAACTATTTTTAATAAATGCACACTCATATTTCAATTTAAAAACTTACAAAAACAATTATTTTTTCAGTTTAGTTGTATCTCAACAGCACGGTAAGACAAAACAAATTTAAAAAAAAATATGCTGTAGTGTTTTAAATCCAAACAAATTGTATAAAATTTAAGGTGAAATTCTTACCTTCTTCTAATGGGATATTTTTGAGACGCAAATTGAAATTTTCAAATATCATTTCTGTAGATAAAACGTCTTCGGAGAACCAAACCATACCGCAACGAGATACTGTAGCGAGAGTGGCATATTTCAAGTCTTGAACCTAAGATTTTTTTTAATAATTAATATCTAAACATATTAGGTGGATATTAATTTACCTCAAACATTACTCTAACATTGGGAGGCAAAGACAAACGTTCACCGTTTGGTAGAGTGAGTAATTTATTGTCATCAAGTACAGAGTTTAAGTTTTCTACCCACTCTGGATCTACGTCGCCGTCGAATATAATCCATTGACGTTTGTTGATTTCTCCTCTTACATTATCAATAATTTTTCTAAAAACATTATCATAAATATGTATATTTTTTTTAGGAATTTTGTAGGGATTGTTACCTGAGTATATGTGTAAACAAACCATCAGTCCACTCTCTAGTATTTGGATCCAGAACTCCATACAGAGCTTCTTTGCTGATAGCCTTAGGATCGATTACGTGCGCCACGCCTTCAACACCCTCGAAACGTTCCAGCGCCTTGAGAAGAACTCTCCAAGCGGTACTTTTGCCTGAACCACTAGGCCCAACCATCATGAGACCGTGGTTTAAGTTGCAGATTTGATAAAGTTGGAGAACCTAGGAACCATAATTATTTATTGCGAATTTAGATAAATAATGTGACAATAAATGCTATAAAGATCAGCGGTGCAATACTCTTTTAGATTAGGTCTATTTATTTATTGATGGAAAACAGTCAATGTTACAAAACTTAGACATAAAACAAATTAAATATGAATTAACCTTGGAATTACCCGAGGAATTAACTGTATAATTTTGAATATCAGATATGTCGTCTTGGGTTATAACAGAACTTGTCTTCCAAAATTATAAAAAGAAACCTCGCCTAAAACCGGTCTAGCCAGAACAAAGGCATAGTTTTCAGGAAGTATGCGATCCTAAAAACCCATCAACCTCATCTTTGAGGTTATTTTAACATTACCTTTGCTAACCAGGTGTCCCTCTTAAGCAGCATAAAATGAAATGATGTGCCGTTTTACAATAATTTTACAATGAACATCGTGAATAGTGAAAATCACACAATAAATCCAAAAACAAAGCGAAACTCTTTCTTACCTTCTCCATCCAAGCAGAACCTTGTTCGTCTCCTTCGCCGCAAACCAAATACTCCTCAACGCATACTTTCCTAATTTCATCCTTAAGACCTAAACAGAAATTCTAGTTAAAACTAAGTTTTTCCATTATAAACACCCACCTTTCATTTCAGCTCTAGTATATTGTACATTAGGGAATACGTCATTCAACAAACTAAACAACAACGGTATATCTTCAGCCACTAATTTGGGAACCATAGTTTCACATACTGATTGAATCAAAATTTCCTGTTCAGGTAGATTTTCAGCTATGCTAGCTTCATCAATATTAGTTTCACCCCTTTGGGTCATTCCTTCTTTAATTCTTTGAATACGATCTCTTTTAACGTTACCAGCAGATATCAGAACAGATTTTAATGCACGCAATCCAAAATCGTAATGGGATTGATTAGAAAGTTGTTCATCACATAATCTAAAATTAACAAAAAGCAACTCAAACCCAAAAAAACGCAATCTTACTTGAAGAATGGGACAATTTTACAAGCCAATTTCTCAGCAGTTCTGAAACCTTGAGAAAACAACATAACTTCTGCAATAAGTTGTCTGTCTGGCGTTGTCATAGCCAAAGATCTAAAAAGCTTCTTCAAATTATCAGGCAAATTTGATCTGCCCGCATATCCTGGATTCATTGTGATAAATATAGCCATATCATGCGATACCCGAACTTGTTTTCCTACCAACTCAACACTAATACCTACAAATAAAAAACACATATTATGACAATTCGAAAAAAATCAAATTCCAAATAATTACTTCCTGTTTGTTGCCCAGATTGTTCACTGCTCTCCTTCTGGCTCTTGAGCGCCTCTTGAATAGTTTGAATTTGCTGTGAAACGGCCGACAACATTCTTTCTTCCAATCTGTTAAACTCGTCAAAACATCCCCAGGCTCCCACTTGACATAAACCAACGAAAATCCTTCCCATCGCTTGGAAATCAAAGGTTTCGTCGCAATTGAATACCAACACAAAACGACCTAGTTGATTTCCTAAGGCTTTTACAGATTCAGTTTTACCGGTTCCGGCTGGACCGAAAGGTGATCCACCCAATCTTGCTTCCAGAGCTTGGGTCATTGTCAAATAGCATCGGTCAGTCAATGGAGTTTGTACTAATCTGTCTTGAACTCCAAGATATTCAAAGCCATAGTAGAATCTAGCATTTGCCATGTGAATGGTGAGTTGTTTTAGAACATCTGCTTGACGTGGGTCAAAATAGAATCTCATTTGGCAAAGCCATTCAAAAGTTTTATTACTGCACACGCCACTGGAGACAAGTTTTCTGGTAACTGTTCTTTTGTGAACAAATTCGTTGATAAGATGTTCGAGTTTTTTGCGTCTAAGTTGAGGTTGTTCTTGGAGTACCGAATCAGCTAAAACGTTTAGGGTGTTTTCCACTTGTTGCAACACTTTTTCTAGGGGTCCTTTTTGAGGCTCGCCATTCATCTGGAATAATAGGAGCAATCAGGCTAATTGTCTCGTTTGAATCGAGAAAATCTTACCTTAGTTAATGCTGCTTCAACATCCTCACTCCAAAATATCTGAGCAGCCAAAACGACAATTTGCGCCTGATACTTATCGCACCACTCCATAAACAATTTAGGATCAATTCCGTCTTTGAATTGCTTAATATCTTGCACTGCTTGCGCTAGGCTGGAAGCTAAAGTTACACGCATTTCTTTTTCGACTAACGAAAGCCACTCGTTGATTTTCGGATGTTCCACAGTGGAAACTGGAGCTCGGAAAAATACTTCTTCGCCCTCTCTAGAAGCTATACCAGTTATAATCGTGTTATCTTCATTCAGGATAATGGACGCCACTCCGGCAAACATTTTTTTAAAGTGTTTTTGAAGTCTGGCAATATTCTTGCTGTTGCCAATTATTTCTAATAAATCTTCGTCACCAACAAAGTAAAAGCGAGGGAACGATGTTCTTTCCCTTTCCAAATACTCACCAAGAGCTTTTTGAATTTTACCTAAAATAAAACAAAAATAAATAAATCTTTCTTAACAAAAAAAAAAAATTCTCATGCCTAATAGATCTGCAAGACGTTCCAGGGCTCGTTGAACACCAGGAATATTCAATACATCCATAACCATAGGAGACTTGCTGACTTTTTTCATTAACCCTAAAAATTCTGAGCTTATGCTTTGGAACCTAGAAGTTTCAACAGGCAGTAAAGTCTTAATATCAGCGCTTCCCGAGAAAATCCCTTCCAAATAGACCCATCTTCGTTGCACATCAATCCAAACATCAAATAGGCCATTAATCCTATTTAGTTTCTCTTCCCATGTAAGTGCTTCTTCTTCAAACACTTTATAGTAAGGTGAAAGCTTCATTGCAGCCACAGAATTAATATGTTCTTTTACTTTATTGAAAAGATCATCCCACCCACGAATCAATTTGCACTTATTCTGATAATTGATCAAATCCAACTCGTATGTTTGCCAAGATTCTCTTACTTGTTTCAAGAACTCTTCAAGCGCCATCTCCCCTTGAGCCACCAAAATGATGTCTTTAACAATTGATTCGTTTTTTTGTAAATTCACGTCCCAAACTTGCCCGAGATTCAAATCGCTTAAAACCCAATTAACACGGAGTTGTTTCATCAGCTGTTTCCAGTGACGTTCTTTGAGGGCATCAGATTTTAGTTCTACAATAAGCATATTGACTTTGGTGTAGGTTTGGAGGGTCTTCTTGACATATTCATAGGAGGCATATTGACGAAGCCTGGCTGGAAGCTCTTTGAGTTGAGTGGACATTTGGTCCAGTTGTTGACGGAGCTTTCTGGGTTGGACAGACAACCATGGTTTCTCTCTAGTCTCATCAATTTGTTGCCATATTTTCGATAATTCAGACCAAACGCCTCTCAAATCTTGCAATTCTTCATAAACCACTTGCATTTTGTCTTCGCTAGTGCTGATACCGCCAGGTTCTTGTAGTTCAAGAGCTTCTTTGGCTTTGGCCACATTGTCCCTCTCTTCTTTGAGGCGAGCAAATTTACTTTCGAAAAGTTGTAGCTGAGAAAGTGCTTCATCAGGCCTACCAATAACAAAAATTATTAAATTTAACAAAATTATTACTACAAAATTAGATTACCTTAGGTGTCCTTCGACGGGTTTGCTCTTTTCCCAATCACCCAAGAAATCATAGGTTCTACTTTCAACAGCTTTATCTTCAGAAACAATCTTTTGTTGCAAGCTAGAAACTTGAGTCTGAATTGAGGAATCTTTGCGCTTAATAATTTCATTAAAAGCCCCCCATTCTCCTTCCAAGTTTTCGACATGCAACCAATTAGTTGGGAATTGAAAACGCTGACGTTCCAAAATCCTCTGTCCCTCTCTATAAATCTCTACTTGCTTCTCCCACTGCTTCATGTTTCTCTTCAATTGTTGCACATAAGTAATGAAAGTAACAGCATCGGAAGTACTAGCAGCTTCAATGCTTTGCAGTTCCAAATCCGACCTGGACTTGGAGACATTACTGTGGAAAGTTGCCATATCATTGCTAAGCAAACTGCCAAATTTGCTTAGAGTCTCCTTGTGCCACGAGTCATATTTAAGAGAAACTTTACTTTGCACTTTGGCAAAGTCAATAACAATGGGACCAAATTCACGACGAGTGTCTGAAGTATCGAAAGTTGATCTTGTGGTTTTTATATCGTTGAGACACCTCATCCATTTACCAATATCTTCACCCAACTGACCATATAAAGTGTCAGCTTGCAGATCCCACAAAGCTTGATAAGTTAGCCACTGATTAACATATTTCTGAACCTCTTTGATTCTACTAGCAATAGCACTATAAGCGCTGTTCATTGGTTGGGAACCACCAGGAAGTTTAGTTAAAATAGTTCTATAGGATTCTGTTACAGGCTTTTCAATACCAACTTGGTATCTGCTGCTTTGCAGTCTCAACTGGGACGTTACAATAGCCTCCCAAGCAAATAGTTGTTGCATAATCTGGAATCTAGCCTCTTCGATGCTGGGGTATAGGTACATAGTTTGATTGGTTATTCTTACTTCATGTATCATTGTTTGGATTTGTGGATCACCGCCTGGTTTATGAGTGGGCTGAATAGGAGCGTCAGTATCCATACTGTGATCGATATTTTGTTTAGTTCCTGCTAGTGCATCAGTCCAAGCTTCAATACCTGCTTGTAAACGACGGGCTAGGACTTTTTCGACTTCTTCGTCTAATCTGTTCACCCAAATGTGCAAATTTGAGTATTGTTTTAGAGATAAATCATCAACTGCATGTTGGATTTTTGAAAGTATATCCGCGAACGTATTGGCTGAATATGGACAAGTTTCCAATGATCTCACGTCGACTTCTAGTTGCTCACCAATGATAACTAGTTCTTCGACTTTTTCTTGGAAACCTACGATTGTTTCGGAAAATTTCTTTACATAAGGGTCGAGTTTATAGCTCTCCCATACTAAAGATTCGCCTTCTTTTATTAGGCTTTGGACTTCTTTTCTCATGCTGGCCACTAGCGGGACAATGCTTGCTTTACCTTCAATCTGAGGAAAGGAAAATATTTAGAAATAAAAATTTACTGTCGTAAGGGAAGGAAAAGCTACATTGGTTACATGTCAGAAGGCTTTTATTTAAAATAAAGATGGGAATCATGCTTAGACTTTCTGGAATGAGCTGTAGATAATACATATTACAAAGCATAAATTTGAATTTTCAGGCCAAACATGTTTATGACAGTAGTTTTTAGTTTAAAGTAGAAAGGTTCAGTAACATGGTTATAGTTCATGTAAGCATCTCAATAGAATAAAAGTTGTCGATTTTATCTCTCAAGGAAAATGATTACTGTATCATGGATTTCAAAGAATCCGCCTCACTAAGCTATTTTTGTTTAAAGTTATTGAATTCTTAGAGCTTAATGAAACCGAGGATTTGCGAAAATCATTGGATTTTAAAACAAAAAATAATGAAGAGAAATTTTAAAAAGCCGACAATCATGCAGGGTTGCTATCCATGCCTGACATTGATACACAGCTGAAATATTCTACCTTGGCCCCACCATGGAGCTGTGTAGTCCTCAGAGTGAGCTAATTTAAAACAAAATTAGAATCCTTTTGAAAACTGAAAATCAAAGCCTTTCAAATATAGTCTCTTACCTTTTCCAATGTCATTTCATAAGTTTTCACACTTTCTATCAGAGATATGGCAAATGGATACAGTTGATTAGCTTGATGGGCTTTATTAACTATAGCTAATGGCACTCTGTAGCCTAGACACTTCAAATTGCGCACTTCTTTGGCCAGGGTGATAATCTCAGGCAAAAAGTTCACTTTGAGTTTGAACACGTTACTTCTACCATTTTTCGATCTGACTTGATCTGTAGTAAATATCCTCCCAGAAACGCCCAAGTTTCTTTGCTGCACATTACGAGCCCATTCATCAAAAATTTCATCTGTATTCAGTTTTAAACGGAAACTGTCGCCATCTGCCTTTAGTTTTTGGCCTTCTATATGATTTTCCCAACCTTTACCTAAAACATCTTCCACACGTCTCAGATAAGTGGTCAACTGATGATCAATTTGTTTCAGCCACAAAATATAGCTGGCCACTGGCGGAACGTCACGATCTTTGCTTATTTTAGCACTGTTACTTTGAGAAAATGGCACCTTAAATTTCTCATGTAAAGCATCAATATCATCTTTGACTCTTTGGATTAAATGAGTTTGGTATTCTCGAATAGCACCTCTGATATGAGGCCTCACAAACAAAGCATTAAACCTTGAGAAAATTCTAAACATTTCATTGGCATTTTTAGCTGTTCCTAATTGATCTCTCAGATGGGCCGTAATACGAGTTTCAACACGATCAATACGTTCTTCATAGCGTTGGACTGCAGCATCCCAGGCATCTTGGCCTTCTTTTGAGATATCTAGGCAGTCAACTTCTTTGACGTTTTCATAGGCCAGATTTACTTCCTGAAAGGCAAATTTATATTTTGAGCTGCGCTTCATTTAGAAAAAATAAATCAGTAGGTACCTCAATAGCATTTGCATCAGCTGCATCCAATGAAAAAGTAGGTTTTGGTGGTTCCATATTTTCACCTTCAAGAGTCACAGCACTTTCTCTTATAGTCGGTCTTAAAACTCTCACTATAACAGTTCCAAGTTGTTCATGCTGCCTACGGAATTTACGCATTTGCTCCATGCGACTCTGAAGTTTCTTGTGCTGAGCTGAAATGCGCCAAACCATTTTCATGTGTTCGTCGCGTTTCTTTTTCATTATGTCCCTAAAATCCATTAATGTATTTCAACTGTAATAAAATAAACTATTAAAATTACCTTAGTAGGGCCTGTAACTTCTCATATTCGTCCTCCCAAATGGAAAACACTTCAAAGCATTGAATCATTACTTTTTCAAATTCATCAAAAGGTATATGCATGAGTCGTCTGGTTCCCAAAACTTTCAGCAGTTGAGCGCCTAAATCTCTGGAAATGGCTTCAACAAGTCTCAGACATCTTTGAATTGGGTACTTGGTAGATCTTACTTTACGAAAATGGGCAAAAATAAGCTGTACCGCTGCCCTAATTCGTTCAAGTTCAGTAGCAGATAAAAGATCATTAATAGGGAAATCTTTCATTAAAGGATTGTAGTCATTCACAGTGGCAATTGCTTGTTTTAAACCAGTATCGGTATCAAATGATACAGTTGCGTGAAAACGTTTACCATGTTTTAAAATGTCCAAAGTAAGGGACACTTCTAAGCTTTCACGTTTTTCTTGTATTCTATGCAAAGCCCTTTCTAAATTCAACCAAAAACTGATTTCCTGTAGGGCAGTGCCTGAAGACGGATCCCTATCAAGTTTGGTTACTTTTTGAATTTCCTTAATCCACCTATTAACACCATGTTGCAGCTGGTTTAAAAAGTTTGAGTCTTCAACTTTATCACTGAAATCTGAAACTTTCGGCTTGCGACCCTCATCAGCACATTGTTTAATAAGGGTAGCCACATAGGGATGTACTTGCAAAGTGATTTCAGGAATATCAATGTTTTGTTGTAAATGTAACAGGCCCATTTCTAGCTCGGCTATTGTTTTTTCTACTGAAGGTGCCATCTTGTCACCATCCCTAAATTTGAGTTTCATTTAAGTTTTGGTAATTTAAGAATTATTGTGACTTTACCTATCAGCTCTGCCAGATTCTTTAACATAAGATTTGAAAAATGGGGCTACACTTTTGCTAACATAATCGTGGAGAATTTCGTAGGGGGAACCTTCACTAAAGTTGAGCATACGCACCTAGAAGAAAAATTGAGTGAAATTTGTGATTTATATTTTATAATGTTGATTACCTGAGCACGAATACTCTTATCAGCCTCTACTACGGCACTCCGTTTAATACAAACCAGGCTCGACATTTTGGAGCTGGAATAATGAACCTCATTGCTGACATAATACACGACCGGTTCTTTTTCTTCTTCGCCTTCTGGTGGTTGATCTGTGTCATCCTCTAGGAAAAATGAATAGGGAATGCAAACCGGTAACTCTAATTCAAGAAACAAGGGATTTCTATATCTACAGTATGTCCACATAAGATTTACAAACTTTATACCATTATTTCCAGAATGATTTCAAATTTTTAAAAAATGTTTAGCTATAAATAGGTACCTTATATGTTGTGAAGTATGCCAATAAACGAGAACAAATCCTGTAATCCTTTCCTACAGTATTTGGGATTAGAGTTCCTAATATATAAATTTATTAAGTGTGAAAGGAAAAGATTTTCACATTTTGAAATAGGGTAATATCGAGTATCGAGATAATGGTAATGCCCAAGATTTCGACTATCAACAAATCTTTCATTGGTTTACCGTTTGGGTTAGTTTAGGTAGAAAAATCTTTCTTTTCTAAATAAAAGTCTTCAGTGATTTCTATTGTTAGCACCACAGATATACCAAAGATCCCGCTTCTGTAACATAAAAACAGAATCCAACAAGGTCAGAGAACAGAACCCCCAAATTAGATACCATATCAAAGTAGACCAATTTGGACAAGGAACGTCCCAGTTCAATGGCCATTATTCTGACTGCAAAAGACCCAGATGATATTTTTTTTGAAAGACTGACAATATGAGATTTAAAATTTAATTCACTGTCAATAATAATTCCCAGAAACTAGTCTCAGGTCAACATTCGATAGAAACATTGTGGACATTGGCAAGTCCTAGATCGCATCTAAATGACAAAATATTTGTTCCAGCACCAGAAGATTAGAATCACACAAAGATTCAAGCTGCTGAAGATCTGTGAGAATAACACGTTTAAGAATCTGATGGTCAGCACAGTGCCATAAAATTGTGGTGCTGTCTGCAAATAAAGTAAAGTTTCCAGTAATATTTAGTAACGCAAGCTCATTTATAAAAATCAGAAATATAGGAGAGGACCCAGTACCGACCCCACAGGTACATCCCAAATATTTTCCAAAACCACTGATTAAAACGATCCAATGTAAACCTTCTGATGATGATCGGACAAATAAGATTGAAACCATGTGAGTATCACTTACCTAAAGCCATAGTGAAAGAGATTCTTGAGGAGCTACTCCATCAGGATAAGGTGGTTGACGCACATTATTAAGTAATGCCGGAATAAAGACCTTCCAAAAACTGAAAAATCATCTGTATTGTGATGTTCTCGAAAGCCAAATTAAAGAGAACTTAAAACATTGTTTGTATTCAAATATGAGATCTCTCTACTTTTAACCAGCTTCTCTATAATTTTGAATAGATTAGAAAGTAGTGATATTGGCCTATAATTAGAGGGATCTCCCAAATCTCCGCTCTTTTGAAATGGAATTACTTTTGCCAGCCTAAGGCATGAAGAAAAGACGCCAGACTCCCAAAATAAATTGATTGTGTGAATTAAAATATCCAAAACTTTGTCAGTCACAGTTGCAAATAATTTTATATACAGACCATCATCCTGACAGCTTTTTTTATTTTTAGTAATTGATATGATCTGTTTTAACTCTTCCAGGGTAGTAGGAAAAAAGTAAGAGGAATTATTGACCACTGCCTTATTTGAAAGAAAACTAAGTGGATCAGTGTGTTAAATAATATTTTTTGGTCAGGTTTTCCACAATGGGATAGTAAAATTTGTTGACTGAGTCAGGAGACATGTTACTATCATTGATGATTGGGGAAAAATGGGTTTTCTTAATAATATTGTTTATAATCGACCAACTTTCCTTTTATTTGTTGGATGCATTTGCAAGATGATTTTAGTAATGTAAATATTTAGCTAACACAAGGGCTAAGTTTTTTGTAGATTGACCGGTAGTCGTTGAAATAGGTGTGAAAGTGTGGATTATCTGTGAATTTTCTAATATAGTGAAGATTTCGAAGATTTCTTAGACGACACCTTAAGTCCTCTGGTAAACCAGGGTTTTTCATTTGTTCAATTTTTCCAACAGGAAATGTTGTGAGTAAATTCTGCATTAATTTATTGTGCCCAATAGGACCTGGTCACGAAAAAATACTCAACCAGAAAGCACTATCAAATAGTCGGCAAAAACTACCATAGTTTGACAAACTAAAAATTCTGCCCTACTTATACCTTGCTGTTTTTCTTAGAGGGATCATGTGAATTTTACACAAAACAGCATTATGATCAGACAAGGCAGCGTTAATAACTGAGCAGTCAAACATCTCAGAACAAATATTTGAACATAGAGAATCTATTTTATCTATAACAGATGAAGACACCAGTATCGATGGATAATAGTGCCTCCATTCCATTCTATTCGAAAATGCATTTAATTTATCCATAAGGTGATCTGTAAACACAGATAATGTAAACATTTAAAGCTTACTTTATAGAATGCAATAAAAAATTCAAATATTTTCTCTTCTACAGTCCCCGCAACATAAGGTGGCGAGAGCTGGCGCAGGTAGGCGTAGCGATGGGTCCCTTTTCTTGGCCCAGGCAAAGCTAAAATACAAACCTTTTCCATTATCAGGGGCGTCGCTAATTGGTATGACGATTTTGACATTACAAATAAATTATCATATTGTACCTACACGCCACTGTTCCCCATCGGTTTACCGAGGGTAGGGTTTACAGTTCAGTTTACGCCCCTACCATTTCCGAATTTTGTCTAGTGCGCAAATTGCTGTTTCGCCACCTTATGTTGCGGGGCCTGTAGCAGGTGATTAAATTTTACTATGGTTTGAAAACAATTGACAGTTAGGAATTTAGCATTGACTAGAATCATGCAACCACCATGCCCAAACATGTTTTTGCAAAAGGGAGATAGCACTGTACATATATACATACACAACAATTCTTCCTCTTTAAACCAATGTTCAGTAATCAGTACCATATTTAGAGCGGGTATTATAAAACTGGTTTGACAGTTAACTTGAAGTTAACTTTTTGAATTACATGTAATTCCAGAAGTTAACTTTAAGTTAACTCTCAAAGTAGTTTTATAATACCCGCCCTTAGACACTCACACTGATCAATAAATAGATCCAATCACTCAATTTATTTTTAAGTGATTGAATATTTAAAAGCAGCTCTTCTGTGCTACCGTAGGCTACCACATGGGAGCAATTTGGGCCCTTTCCTTTTTTTTATATCTAATTAATTAATTGCCAGAGTTTCTGTCAAACTCCACAGGATTACTTTTTGCAGATAACTTCGAACTTTATAGTTATAAAAATAAGAAAAGATTGGTATTTGCTCCAGCTTGATAGTGATAGAGTAATTAAATAGTTTCCTGATAACAAAATGTTCCTTGATATAAAAAAATATCCAGTTCTAACATTTACTAGAAAAACCAGTCCTATTTCTCATAATTTTACGAAGTTTTTGATGTCCTAATAAATTATAAAAGTTAGGTGAAGGATTAAGTAGGGAGTTTTCTTTCAGTCAAATTTTAAATTTAATAATGATTTCTGTCACATGAAAAATAAATTCGTCAAGGCCCTGGGTTTCTTGATTGAAAATACAAAAAAAAAATATCTCCTCGATAATTGAGATGCATTAAAACAAGGTATCACTCGACCCATCTTCCCTATCTAAAAAAAGGGGTGAAAGTCACCCTAGCGAAATACCGATGGGGTCAAAAAGTTTCCCCCTTGAATACAAAATTTACATGACCGAGTGTTTTTTTAAAATCAACCTTGAAATACCATAAAACGCCTCTGTTTTGATGTTCGTGAAACACCTTGTATAAGTATCCCTATGTACTTATAATATTTCTTAACATGAATAAACTATCTAGCTACTTGATCCCAACTTGCAGGAAACTTGTCAGTTGTCTGCCAGTTACAAGTGTTTAATATTTACAATGACTACCAATACTGAATACAGAATATGCATTAAAAAATAACAATTCAATAATATACAATAAACACTCTATTCCTTAAATTTAATAGAACAAGAATAACTAGTCCTACAATAATGGGGACCTTCCAATTATTTATTTATTTATTTAAGGTTCACCTTACAAACACCCAAAATATAATCACAAGTAAGGGTGGTTACTAAAACTAAAAACAGAAAGAACAAGAAAGAGTAACAGCTTACAGTAAAATTTAAATAACCCTTAACACAACAATAGGTAAATATCTCAGTAAATATGTACAACAACACTTATATTTCAGCTAAAATGATAATACCTTACCCAAAAATCGCTCTTATTCCATGCACAGATGCATTAAATATATCTATTCCTTTAAGAGTCAACATCGAATTACATTCACTCAACATGGGATTCATAGGAGAACAACTAGTAGGACACACATGAGAGGTATTGTAGGGGGTTACATCTTAGATTTATTTTAGGAACATGATATTGGATGTACTTAATTAATGAATAATCTTCTTCAAATTTAATATTATAAATAATATAAAATATGAACATAATAGTTTGGGTTAGTTCTGGCAATAGGATATTATGCTTTCATTACAAAAATTCAATGCTATCTAAAATAATTGTTGAAAATTTCAAAAGGCTATCTTGACAGAAAATAACCTAAATGCTTGCACCCAAATACAAAGCAGACTTTATTATTTTCAGAAATAAACATAAATTTTAGCTGTTATTGCGAATAGAAAAGATCCAGTGTTTTTCGCATTAGGAATATCCCCAAAATAACATACAAGATATCTATACTTATCTCTCACTATGTTTGGGTAAATTTGAACTGAAATTTATTCAAATTTGGGCTCGCAAGCGGATTATAAAGACAAATCAAGAGGATCTACATCATTTTACAGCATAAACCATAGATATAGGTCTAAATTAAGAATTACCTATACCGGGTGCCCACAAGATCACTTTCCGGCTGCCATTTTTTTATTTGTCTATCGATATCAACGAAACTTGGTAGGGTTGATATTCTAACCAAACGCCATTTTTATGCATTTATGACAAGTTTTCCTGACTTCCGGTTTCACCGGAAATGACCGGAACTTTTGATTTTTAAATGGCACACCCTGTATATTTTCTGTTTTCCGGATTTTACACATCGTTTTACTTCCTAGTGCACCACTTTTAAATCAAGTTTTGTCCAAATTTTGTTTTTAAATTAAATTTTAATTTTTTAACTAGAGTGCCATGATCATCCCAAAATGACTCTACATCCTTTACTTACCTTGCGTTCGGTATTTTGCTCAAAGTGTAGAGCGAGCTGAGCGGAGCCGTAATCACGTGACCAGCGAGCGAACGGAGCAGTTGAATGCTGTATAAACCGTGCGTTCGTTATTTTGGTCTGAGTTCTCCGAGCATGACTTTACCGTTCGTTTATTCAAAAAGTGTACTCGGTGCACCCTCATTCGCGTTCGTTTATTAAAATTTCTGGCACTTTTATTTAGCGTTCAACTGCTCTGTTCCCTCGCTGGTCACGTGATTACGGCTCCGCTCAGCACGCTCTGCTCTTCGAGCAAAATACCGAACGCAAGGAAAAGTACCGGAAATTTTAATAAACGAACGCGAATGAGGCTGCACCGAGTACACTTTTTAAATAAACGAACGGTAAAGTCAAGCTCGGAGAACTCAGACCAAAATAACGAACGCACGGTTAATTTCAGAAAAATACAAACTCAATTTTATCTTTGTAAATTTTTTTGATAGAGGGCTGTAAACTTCATTATTTTAGTATTTTTGCCCTAGCTCAAAAACTAGAATAGGAACATATCACTTTCATAACATTACTAAATGCAGTATTTTGAAGCGAATCCAACGATATAATACACTATGACATTTTTCTCAATTTCTGTTTAAATATTTTTGTTTTATTATGTAGGTAGGTTTTTTTTTTCTACTTAAAATATAATTTGAAAACGAAATTTGGACACAACTTGGATTCAAAAGTGGTACATTAGGACGTAAAACGATCTGTAGAATCCAAAAAACAAAAAATATACAGGGTGTGCCATTTGAAAATCGAAAGTTTCGGTAATTTCCGGTAAAACCGGAAGTCAGAAAAACTTGTTGTGAATGCACAAAAATCACGTTTCGTTAGAATATCAAGCTTACAAAGTTTCGTTGACATCGAAAACAAATAAAAAAATGGCAGCCGGAAAGTAATCTCGTGGGCACCCGGTATACTGATTTGCCTGATTGACATCTTGGCAAAAATATATGAAACTGCTACTCAATAGGCTTGCTGAGTTTGGAATATTGGAGTCAGCAGAGAGTGACTGAAATTCCGCAAGGACTATATAATCACATCTATAAATCTCTCCTCTCATGTAGAGGGATTTAGTAGAAAACTTTCAATGGCTTGGTACTATAAAGATTCTGGGATTCCTTTTGAAAATGTAGAACTGCAAAGACATTCCTTAAAGTAAGACACAGAGAAATAGGAACAGAAAACATCGAAGCTTCTAAGGAATCAAACAGACATAACTAACCAAATTGTATATCAGTGGAAGTGGAACAAGTTGACCGAAGAAGGAATTACTGCCAAATATGAAACTTTCTAATAATAGTGCCAACTGTGAATTAACGCAAATCTTATCTATAAAAAAATTGAGACCTAATCCAGAGCTTAAAGTAACACACTAACAATAATTGACCTTCATTAGTTTCATCGATGTAAACCACTTACCCACTATTGTTACCATATATTTTTATTATTACATTAAAATCATACCTTTAGATGAATGTCTCTGAACGTACAAAGTAGTAACTTGAGGATCAGAAATAAACTTCTTGATGCATTCCTGATTGGCTTTATCATCCAGAGCAGTCACCAAGTGTTGGGGCTCGGCTTGAGAGTCGTCCTCGGGAAGTAAGATGGTCGCAGCCTTCAAGATAAAGTTTGTAAAGGCTGTAAAATCCACAAGGGCCACGTTTTGGGTTTCGGGAGTATTTTCAGTCCCCTCCAAAGAGTCCCCCATCTCTAACTTGTTCAGGGGAGCAGATTTGATTGTAAAATTTTACACATATGAAACAATATAACGGTTAAAATACTTGTTAAAAGCCTTCACCTTCCTTCAGGTGGGAGACGATTGAAATTTGCTGTTTGTTGAGTCACTCGGCTCTGCGTACTGCGCCAACTCCTGACCCCTCCTCACTGATTCTATCCTTCCGAACCAATAGAACGAATCGAACCAATTTTTAAACTCCTAAAAAAACTTTTGTCCTGCTGTATTTTTTTTGCAGGTGCTTGGACTGCTTGGAGAGAAAAAGGAGAGGGAGAAGGGAGATGTCATTCTTGACAGAATACAGTGCAGAATACCTGGGGTGCGTTCAAGGACGGCAATGCTAATGCCAAAACCTACTTTTCCCCTTCCACCGGTAATGCCGAACCACGTTAGGTCGGAGCCGAACTCGAACGCAAAATGCCAATTTTGGCTTGGCTGAAGCTTCCTGAACGCAGCCCAGTAGGAGATTGTGAAGATCCTTTGGCTGCGTTCGAAAACAGTAAAAATAAGACCCCGGACTCCGAGTAGATAAGGATCTTTTCTTAGGATCTTTTACTTTCTTCAACAGCTGGGAATCTAGGATTTAACAGGAACCATGCATTCAGAGCCGCTTTCCAGTATGCACATTGGCGCGCTCCAGAGCACCTCGGGGGCGCCACGCACTAGATTTGTACCGTTCCAGTATCATGGCGTGAGACGCCTGTGTTAGTGTCAAATATGTCAAATTTTAAAAATAATTATCTAAGGTGCTTTCCAGTGACCCATTTGAGTTACTCCTGAGCAGCTCAGGAGTGCTCCACAATTGCTTTGCGCATTCCAGTGCTTAGAGTGTCGTACACTTGAGCTACTCATTTCTGTTATCCCCTGCCCCCTCGTGCACCAACCCTTTTGTCTGTGTTTCATGCTCCTGAAATCTGAAATGGTGGGGGTTAAGACGAGAGCGTTCCAGTGCTGCTTATGTTGAACAGTTCAAGAGCGTCACACTTCAGGAGCATGATACTCTAACAATTAAGGCACTGGAAAGCGGCTCTGTTTGTTTGTGCAGTTTGTTTTTTTATTTATCATAAATGAAAGAGAATCAAAACTATATATTTTAAAATGTTCAATCTTGAGATATAACAAGAAATAAATAGATAAATAGCCACCCACAGATGTGACAGCTGATAGGTTGACGCGTACGAACAGCTCGGGGGCTCAAGCCCCGAGTAGCTCCGGGCGTCATACTCCCATACTGGAAAGCGGCTCAAGATACAGAATATAGCAAATTAAAACTTGGCAGACCAGACCTGCTCCAAGCAGATCTGGTGATCTCGAACTATTCTAAAGTCAGGGACGTACCCACTCGTTTTATATTTGACAATTGACTTTTCCAATTTCTGTTGACATTGACATTTGTGATTGGTACTCTTGTTTTAAGTTGTTTTTATTTTTATTTGTTTGTGAATTGTGGTTCTCCGGCTCTCCTAATTTAAAATTAGTGTTTTGAACTTACACCAGCCCAAATACCAGATACCGATTTGTTGATGGTGAACGTTGGTATTATTCAATTGTTTTCGTGTCAGTCAGTACAATGGAAAATCCCACAGAAAATGTCCAGACAATGTCCGAAGATAAACCAGATCCTCCTAAGGTAGGACATCCTGAAGAAAAACCGAAAGAAGCTGTTCCTGCCGAAAATATGAAACCCAAAGCACCTAAAGCGAAAAAACGAAAGAAACCGAAGGATAGTACTGCACCCAGACAGCCTTTAACTGGTAAGTATACTGTGGATTTTGTTTTAATTAGGTGTTTGCAAAATAAAACAACCAATTACCTCTTAGAGCTTGTAATAAAAAAAAAATCATAGAAAAAAATACTTCTAAATATAGAAATTCCACTGCCTAACAACTACTAACTATAGTCTGGCAAGTGGTAAGTTGATAGAGACGAAAGGGGGAAGAAAAGTGGGGCGTAACCCAAGAATATTCACTGACAGCCATGTCTTTGGGTTCAGTGGCACCGAAAACACCAAGGAAATGAACCAATAAAATTATTAGATTTTTTTAAAAAGTTTCGCCAATAACCACGCCACTGTGCTGTCGTTCAGGCTCTAACCAATAGAATCATGCCTGTGAATAATCACGCCTCTCCACATCTATAATTTCGCAATGTTGTCGGATTTTTTCTATTTCAAAATACCACACATGCCCATATAGCAAAAAAAAAATGTCACCAACTTGTTTATTACTGTTTCCGTCAAGTTTGGCAAAGCAGCAAATTCTATTGCAGTTCGCCGTTTGGCTAGTCAGACAATATACAGGGTGGTCCTTCGGGAATGACATCGATTGCTTATGGGAAAACTGTGAAAGGTAAAAATTTGAAAATTTGGCAACATAGCAATGTCGATGGGGGACATCTAGGTAAAATATTTTCAAGATGGCGGCATTTCCGGTCATACCGGAAGTTGATACCAACTCGGTTATTTTAAATAGAACACCCCATATATTAATGTATTTTTGGATTCTACATAAAATTCTGAGCAGATTTCATGTAATATACCCTATACCTAAGTTCAACTGTTTTGGAAATATTGACAGTTGAAAATTGACTTTTTGCAACTTTGACAAGCTGTAAAACCTAATTGGTTAATTTTAGAGGAAAACCGATTTCACATTCCTATCTTAGATTTTTATAAACTATCATTTGACATCAACTTTGAATTAAATCCATGATTAAAAATTTCAGTTAAATTTAATCTCCGTTTAAGTTCAAAGTTGGTGTCAAATGATAGTTTATCAAAATCTAAGATAGGAATGTGAAATCGGTTTTCCTCTAAAATTAACCAATTAGGTTTTACAGCTTGTCAAAGTTGCAAAAAGTCAATTTTCAACTGTCAATATTTCCAAAACAGTTGAACTTAGGTATAGGGTATATTACATGAAATCTGCTCAGAATTTTATGTAGAATCCAAAAATACATTAATATATGGGGTGTTCTATTTAAAATAACCGAGTTGGTATCAACTTCCGGTATGACCGGAAATGCCGCCATCTTGAAAATATTTTACCTAGATGTCCCCCATCGACATTGCTATGTTGCCAAATTTTCAAATTTTTACCTTTCACAGTTTTCCCATAAGCAATCGATGTCATTCCCGGAGGACCACCCGGTATACAAGCGTCCAGCAATAATCAATTGTTATATTCTTAATCAGCACCAGGGTCCTTATTCTTGAAACAGGGGAGCAGCGTTCCCAGGAGAACAAGTTTTCCGTCATTATTATACTTATATTATCATTTGCATATCATTGAGAAAGATAGAATACTCGTTCTCCTGGGAACGCTGCTCCCCAGTTTCAAGAATAAGGACCCAGGGAAACCTTGCACTGGGGGTACATTCACAAACCTAGAACTAACATCCACCAAACAGATTGGGCATGTATTAAAAACTATTTTAAGAAATAACTAAAAGTTAACTTATGGTGTGATGTCACATCTCATTAGGTCTGTACACAAATTTTAGACATAGATTTCGGATTCTATGCACAAAAGATCCTGCACTAATCTTATTAGGAAATTGGGTCCCGGCCCAAGGTAGTTTGAGATAGGTTGAGAGGTAGGTTGCCTGATAACTTTGTAATGTCATCTGGGGTGCCTCAACAAAATGCAAACCTACATGCGTCATCAAGTTACCCATTGCCAGACAACCTATTTTTTTTATGAACTTTAGGAACATTGGTCCTGGCCACCTATTCCTGGAAGGCCAAAAAGCAACTGAATGAAAGTTGATGAATCGCAAAAGTCGTCAAGTAACGACAATCGTTGAAAAACGACGTCATTGCGAGTTACAGAATAAGCCTGTTAGTTTCTCATTGAATTTTGGCAACCACAAAATTTGAAAAAAAAAACTTTTAGCAAGCAAATTGCAATGTTCTATGACATTTTTTTTTTTAGAAATTCTTTATTTTTGACCCCTAAACAGTAACAAAATACTGGCAACAGGGCCTACTTTTAATTTTATAGAAATACCTCGAGAAATACATTAACTTAATAAATACAGAGTTCCTGATTTAAAAATAATTAGTTTATTCTGTTCCTTTAATGTAGTCTTTGAGGTTACGGCACATTAGTCTATAATTCTGCACATTTATGATATCTCTTGGAGTTTTATCGAGTTTTATTGTATGTTTGTACACTTCTGTATACAGGAGAATCTTGTGATGTTTTAGTCCTTGAAAGTTTATTTGTAATGTATTCTTTTTGTCGCGTATTATGTGTATGATAGTTTTGTCTTTGAGTTATTGTTGTATTTGATTTTATTAGTTCATTCTTTATTGAGTATATGAGTTTCACTTGTTCAATTTGTCTATATTTGTGATTTTTGTTTTTTGGTATATGTCAACACTAGGAGTATATTGATTCATAAGATATATGGTTTTCACAGCTTTATTTTGTATTCTTTCTCTTTGCAGTTTCTCGAGTTGGTATTTTGGAGCGTTTCCCCAGCAAGGAGAAGATACCTCAAATGAGGTTCTATGAAACTGTTATAGAGAAATTGTCTTGCACTGTTATTCAATAGATGTGAGCACCTTTTTATTGCTCCTAACATTGGTGATATTTTTTTAATGATGTTATCAATATGGGCAGACCAGCTGAGATTGTTTGTGAGAATCAGGCCCAAATATTTATATTGCTTTGTCTCCTTCAATTGCACACTATTTAGAACCACTTCCATATCACACCTCTTTCGCCTTATTTGCATAAACTCAGTCTTATCGACATTAATTGTTAATTTATTATAGCACAGCCATTTATGATACAAATTCAGGTCACTGTTTATTACTCTTTCAAGTTCTTTAGGGTTTTCTTCCAAGAAAGCGAGTATAGTGTCATCAGCAAACATGAAATATTTTGATTTTAGTAGAAGATATTGTAAGCTGTGTACATACAGGAGATACTGGATAGGTCCAAGCACTGAGCCCTGGGCTAGACCGACTTTAAATTTTACTTTGTCACTTTTGCAGTCATTTATTTCAGTATAATATTCTCGATCGGTAGAGTATGATTGTAATAGGTTTAAACACACACCATGAAATCCCATTTTATATAGTTTCTTTCTCATGAGTTCAGTGTCAACTGTGTCAAACGCCTTTTGCAAATCAAGAAAAACCAAAACAACATGTCTACCCCTATCCAACTCTCCCTTAACATACTCTACAAGATCCACTGTGGCACCCAAAGTATTGCTTTGTTTTTGGAAACCGTATTGTTGTTTGTCAAATTGAAAAGTCTCTTTGATGTGTTTAATTAATTTAATTTTTCAATTTCAGAAACAAATTTCTCAAATTTCATACTTCTATTCACAAGGATGGTTTGCTGAAGATATTGTCGTTATTTTCTTTGTCTTCCTACAATAAAGCAATTTTTTAATAATAATAATAATTTTATTGGTGCATTTACTTACAAACACAGTTTACACAAATCAGCTTAGTATAGCATAGTAAAATTATTGAGAGAATTTTAATAATATTCTGATTAAATAAATATATTATGGATCACAATGTTACAATCATATCGTTAAAATTATTGTTCCCAAATTCATCCGTAGAGAAAAAAACATTTGTTTAACATATACTTAGCCTTCTACAGTAGTTTTGAATATTTTCGTAAATAACATTCTCACCAAAGGTGGCAGTAAATTGTAAAACTTAGGGCCATAGTAGGACACTCCAGTTTTTATTCTGTGAATCCTATGAAAAGGTGTGTAAATATTGTCTTAGTTTCTGGTGTGGTGAGAGTGAACATGTTCGTGTGTCACATAGTCGGATATGTTGTTTCTGACATGTAGGAGACATTGAACAATATACAACGATGGGTTTGTCAGTATTTTGTTCCTGATAAAGTGATCTCTGCATTCCGCTCTATAGTCAATTTTAGCCAAAACTCGAACGGCTCTCTTCTGCAATGCAAATACACAACGCGAGTCAGTCGCATGCCCCTATGCCAGGATTCCATACGAAATCCTGGACTGGATGCACGCAAAGAAGACCAACCGCGCCACCATGTCAGAGACGTTCTGCACCAGTGCATACACCCCCGACGCCAGCCTCCCACAAACAGAGTCCACCTGTGAGCTTCACATGAGCCCCGAGTCTATCCCTATCCCCAAGAAAGTGACTGACCGGTTTCCCGGCAAGTCAATATCGCGCGGTTTAAACCAAAGTTGTTCTTTGACATTGTGTATTGCCTTGATCCAGAGTATTCAAATCCTTTATTAACAGACTAGCCAATATCATCAACAACAATATAAATTCTGGATAATAATTATATGTAGTGACAAATAATTTAAAAATACATTAATAATTACGCAATAAAATATAATCTAAATAACTAAATACCTTGTATTCTGTTTTTCAACCCTTTAAAAGATAAATTAAAGATATCTACCTCTCTTGGCAGTTGATTGGCACACTAGAAATTCTGTTTTTTTTTTTTTCATTAAAGGATATATCCGTTATTTAAATGACAGAAGAGAAGGAGTTCGAGCAGCAAACCCTTCACTATCTTTTGCGGATATAACAAAAATGTTAGCAAGCGAATGGACAAATTTGCCTTTGGATAAAAAACAACAATATTTGGATGCAGCCGAACAAGACAGAGAAAGGTGAATTCAATTAAGTAATAATATCGGGTTTTTGAAGACCCGATATAATTTTCAAGTTGAAAAAAATTTGATGTTTTACAGATATACCAAAGAATATGAAGCTTATAAGCAAACAGAGGCTTATAAGCAATTTACTCAACAAAACAAGCAGATGAAAGTGAAAGAGACTGTTGTTGCTACAACAAATGTGAGATTTGTGTTAGTATTATTTTGTAAAATAAATATTTAACTTACATTTGCAGCCCACCAATCACGTACAACTACCAATATCACAAGAAATAGATTTCGGAAATTTCGATATTCCAATTTTTACAGAAGAATTTTTGGAACATAATAAGACTAGAGATGCCGAGCTCAGGTGAGCAGGAAAATACTTTTTTAGCAAACAGTCTTCATTACAATTTTCAGGCAACTGCGAAAAATTAACACAGACTATGAACAACAAAATGCCCTTTTGACCAAACATATCGAAAACATGCAATCTGCAATTACCAAAATTGAAAGCGAAATTCTCCAACAGGAAAGAACAAATACGTCTCTGCAGGAACACTTGAACCATTTAAAAACGGCTTTATCCAATGGATTTGTTAAAGTTAAATTGCCTGGTAAGTTTTTTCTATTATGTAGGTAATTGATGTTTATAAATAAAATTAATTCTTTAGGTGTTAAAGAAGTGCCAAATCGTCAAAATATTGAGACATACATGATGAAGCTGCACTCAGTTTTGCTGGAAAATGACAGTCAGGATACCAAGATGCTACAGACTGTAAGGGAAGTTGTGGGAAAGTTGGATTTTAAGGGATGACAAACACCTGGGTCTCGGGTTTCCAAGAGAAAGAGGAAAAACAAGAAGTTTTAGTTTTTTTTTTTTGAAAATTTTCCCTCTAGATATTGTATTTTTTGAGCCAGCTCTTAAGGCCTTACTTATTGATAGATCCTTATGTTAGTAGTTTAGTTAGGCCTTTCGCTTATTGTATAACATTGGGCATACAAATATATAGATGTAAGATTTTAGTGGGTAATAAATAATTAATCAATTATGAATTGGTTTCAATTGACACAGTTTTGTCCAGGAATTTTGTAGGAGGCAGTTTGCATGTTGTTTGGACTTGATTCAAAAATTTCTAAATTCATGTTGAGATTGAAATATCATACTGTCTTATCTTTATAGATAGTGTTGGATACTGGCTGAGCTGCGATCCACAGTGTATTAGTCAAACTGCTTTGAAGTCACAGAATCTATTGGGATTGATTGATTTCGACTTTTAGAAAAGGTGCAGAACCGCTCTCATTACTTGAGTCTGAGTTTGTGCATCTGACCACTCAGTGCCCCATCAGGACTGTGATGACTTTTAGTTGGCTCCTGTTTAGTTTTAGGAGGCTTTTTGCCTCTTTTCAGTTTGAGGAACCTTGTCTGTCTGAGATCCGTTTGACAATAGTGTTCTCTATGCCAAAGCTTTCTGCAGAATTCTTTATCTATAGAGGTAGTCGAGACTTTTACAAATAACTTCACAACTTGACTAAGTCAAAAATCGCCCGAAGCAATTCCTTTTACAGTGTAATCGGCACACCAACATTACAAAGCGCAATAATGAATATGGGTACCTAGTGGCACTTTATCCCCCCAGCTGCACCACATTTTGGAGGAATATGGGAAGCTGGGGAATATTCATCGTCATTTCGTAGCCATTAGCAGCATCACAACCATTGGGGTAATCAGCATTGGCATTGCAGTATAGTATACGATAAAACTCATTCTGAAACACCAACAAACCAAACAGAACCGAAGAACGAGTCGACGCGAAGATAAAAAAGACGAGTTTGAACTACAGTCTTTGAGATATTCTATTCTGGAGAAGCGGCAGAATGTATAATTACGAATTATACTTATATCAAATATCGCGTAATAATAATATCAATTTAATATAAAAGACGATGTATTAAACTTAATAAATCAAATTCAACCAGTGTGCAGTGTTTCTTGATACTTCTTCAATTTACTGTACCCAAGCCTACTTGGCCATAGCAGAGAGTGAGACTGCTCTTCCACATAGTCCTTACTGTTTCACTGTTTAACTAAGCCGTAGTTAAGTAAGTGTATATCAGGCATACAGCCTGAACATACAGTTTCTGACTTATATTATCAGAACCTGCCAGCTGGAAGAGGGATGTTTTATCCCCTTGGATGGATTCCATGTGTTATAAAAATAACATTAAAAAAAGAAAACTACAAAAAATCTAATGAAATATGCCTTTATGGTTAACTAACTAATAATTTTGAGCTGGTAACAAAAATAATAAGTGTCCTAAAAATTAAAAATCACCAAAATTATATCACAAAAAGTTTTTAAATAAATTGAGGTTTAAACATTCCTTGACAATTCTTTCAACATACCCAAGTCTAACTAATACAAAAAAAAATTAAGCTCAATAAATAATTGTTCCCACATTAACAATAACAAATTAATCACTTGGCGTATCATTTGTAATTTTTATTAGGAACAATACACATTTAATAATTGTAGAACTAAATTTTTTGCATTTACCGTTGGTAGCTCTAAAATAAATAAATATCACAATACCAACAGCTAAAAAAAAAACTAAAAACAATAAATTCAAAGATGTGAAAAGCTTTTAGCTAATAACCCGCCTTAATAATGGGGCAAACTTTTTTGAGACAAATATATCTGTATGGAGTCATCAAATCACATTCCAACTAAAGAGAGCATTACTCTAAAATTTTAATATACGTATTGAAGGTGTGCTTAGATGAGTTTGTTCGATCTCCAGATGCTGTCAGATTTACTCCTTTCCTTTTAGAGCTAATAACTCATTATTCAGCTAATTGTCAGAATTATTTCTGGAATTAGTATTTCCGGACATGAATTTCTTTCCATAAACTGTCTAGACTGTTTACTATTACTTTTTAATTTAATTTAGTACAGACGCACCTTCTATATTTCATACAGTGACTTTAATTTTTTAAGTCTCAAAAAAGTGTAAAAAAATAATAATATTGCTATTTACTTAATCTATAGTACAACATTCAAAATTTAAGCATTATGGAATAAATACTGGTTTTTCATAAAATAAAATAGTAAATGCGTAATTACATCAAAACACAAGCAATTTTTCCAAAAAGCTCTTTATATAATTTAGAGTAAAGGTTTTATGTCGACCTCGGAGACCGGTTCCCTCCAGTAGCTGAACTGCGAATAATCGTTGGCTTGTTCCAAACGAGACGGGTACAACTGGTCTACTATGACAGTCATATTGACGTAACTAGAATAAAAATAACAATTTGGATGGTAATCAACAAAGAAATCAAAGACTTGAATGGAACAAAATGCCTATGAAATGGAAAGCTTACACCTCATTTTTTTGGCAATGTAAATGTAAATGAGTTTTTCAAGCCAAGATTTCACAATTTTTATGATTAAAGTATTGGTTTATGAGATACAGCAATGTATTTATAGTTTGAAAGCCATTTAGTTTACTTCTGGTTGGCACGATAGGCAGGCTATACAGTTAGATTGGAGTAAGATTCTAACTGAACTTGTATCCTAAGTCAGACTGAACGTAAATTTTACATAAAAAGCTTAAAACAAACCCCATAAACCTAAAAAATCCCCAAAATATGGGACAAGTGTGTAACATTCTTCACTCAAACAGCATGCTTTTATTTACAATCTCTCGTATTGTTTTTTTTTCTCATTTTGCTTACCCTTATTTGTTTATACAGCCAAGCTTGTACTGCGATGCTGGCACGTTGAGTTTGTGGTCAATAATTTATCAAAAAAAAAAAATCTACTAAAACATGTGCGTCTTGACTTTTTTGACAACATATTAGTCTGATGAAATAATTATGAGATGTTAAGATGAATTCCAAAAGCGTGACTCTTTAAAGTAAAACGCACATATTTTGCTTTGTACTTTCTCAGGTAATTTTCTAATTATTAAAATTAATTCAATCCGAATCGCTTTCATAATCTGATTCAAAAACTGAATCGTTCTGATCGACTTTATGTAAGATAGGCGGAAATACTTCATTGACCACAAGTGATTGGCCCGTATAACTGCAAAAATTAAATAAAAAACTCAATTTTTGTTTTTACACAACACAAAACCTAACCTAAAGCATGCGGAAAAGCTTTTGCTGGCACCCCCACACCCACCACCAATTAAATTTGAAAAATATTCTTACCTAGATTGAAAAGTTTGAGTCAATTCGTGTTTCAATTCGCCTTTAGAGTTTATAGTGAAGATACGATGAATTGGTATTCCAACTGCTCTATAAGCCCATACGTCCTAAAAAAAAATATAATAATTAATAAAAAAAAATATATAAATACAAATAAAATTACTTACATTAATCCTATTTCCATAACCAGCATAGAACGGTTCCAAGTCGGCGGGGAACAAAGCTTTAATGTCGCTCATGCAGGAAATTTTAAATGCTTCGGGTTTCTTTTCGATAACCTCCCTATGAAAAGCGGTAATCAGGGAAGTGGGGTTGAGCAAAATAGGCCCGTCAGGCATACTCATGTCTCCTTGTCGGATGGATTTCAAATATTCCCGGGTGGTTCTAGCCTGGCCGATGGCACGCGCACTCAAATACAGAAGTTTGTAGCCGTTGTCTTTGATTTTGTTGAAGAGCTGCGCCACTCCGGACTGAGCCCAATCTTTACCCACTATGGGCAGGATGTGACCTAATACGTCAGATCTGGAAATGATAAATTGTATGTAGATATTTTAGAGATGATTCTGGTATTTGGAGCGGGTATTTTTGCTTTTGGTTATGGAATTTGATAGATTTTTAACAATTAGAATTTTGAATGTAATACCCTAGAGGGGATTTTGGCCTATGCGAAGCCCTGATAAATTTAAAGGAGTTTGTTGATGGAGAACAAAAGCACCAGCCTTAAGTTGATTTTTGGATATTTCATTATATTTTTTATTGGATCAGTTCGAAATTTAATACAGATTTTCCATCTCCAGACAGAATGATTCCAATTTTTATTTTTTCTCCTAAGATGTTTATCAATAGTATTACGTGTTTCTTGGTGATTCTGTCTTCTCGAAGTGAGCTGCTACATCTATGTTTGTTTGGTCTATTTCGAATTCCTCAGCTATATTTTCTTCTTTGAACTTATAAATATTTCGGTCAGTAATTTAAAAAGATGTGGGGATTTGTTAGTTACCTCCATCGGGAGCGTCCCTATGGGAATTAGGGAAAGCTCGCTGGGGTGTGATCCAACAGATTCAGAGGGTAGTGGCAGTGGGAAAATAAAATACTCACCGTGGAACAAAAACTGACACGGCGGTCCTCCAGGATGGGGATTGAGGCATAAGATTGGTTCTCTAATACTCAGAAAAACAGAAAACTACCAAAAAACCTAAGCAAAGCATCGGAATATTGGACCGATCACCAAAACGACGAACACGACAAAGAAAATGGACTATGAATCTCGCTACGTGGAATGTACAGGGTATTAGAATGAAAACGAATATTATTGCATCAGAAATTCAGAAATTGAATATCGATTTAGTAGCACTAACCGAAACCAAGAAAAAAGGAAGTGACACCGAAAATGTTGGAGAATATATTCACCATTTTACTGAAGTATCAAAGGAAATGAGAGCAGCTAGAGGGGTATCCATACTGATAAGGAAAAACTGGAAAAACAAAATTAACAACTAAGAAGCTGTAGACGAACATATCCTAACGGTGAAACTACATAGCTATAACAGCACCTACTCTCCATCAGAGGACGAAAGAGTCGGCATTAAGCAGGAGTTGTATAACACAATTGAATGAAATCCTGGTAGATATTGAAAGAAATAGAGAAATCATAATGGAAGAACGGGAAGGCCAGTTGTAGGACCATTTGGTGAAGAAATAATCAATAATAATGGCCAAAAGCTCATACATCTCTGAGACCCACAATCCTAGAATAAACAATGGATTTTTCAAACACAAAGATATTCTCCGCTACACATGGATACAGAATACCCGTAACCTGATAACTATTATTGTCTATGTGATAAGCAAACAAGAAACAAACATAGAGATAAACGACGTAAGAGTCCTAAGAAGAATAACTTGCAGGTCAGATCATTTTTTAGTAAGAGCAGAAATAAAGTTGCAATTTGGGAAAACGAACAAGAACCCAGAGGAACAAAACACCAATGCCATACTAACGGACAAAGTGGATACAATAAAGTACAATTTTGACAGTTTTAGAGATGATAGCATTGTATTTCTATATCAGAGGCGACTCGGCAGCAAACTATTGAACCCTGAAGAATATACCTTAAATAAACTCTATGAGAACATTATAAGGAGTCTAATAGAAGCCACCCAAGGAGCAATAGGAACAAACGAAAAAAATAACAACAAGAAATACCGGTGGAACGAGGAGATAGAGCTATTAGTCCAAGACAAGAAGCAAAAATATCTAAAATAGCTAACAACAAAAAATGAACAAAACCTTGAAGACACAAAAAGACAATTAAGAACGTGCATCACTATAGCTAAGAACGAGTCATGAGATAGGAAATGTGAAGAAATCAACAACTACATAGGAAGAAGGAAATGCTCAGAGGTATGGAGATTTACAGTGTATCCACTTAAGTTCGTACCATATGGGAAACTTTTTTATTATCAATTTTACGAAAAAAAAGTTATTCTTTATAAAAGTTTCTGCTTCTTGAAAAAATAATATTGAACTATTAAAACTTGAAATAGCATGTACAGGGTGGTCAAAAAATAGAAAAATACATAGGGTGTTTCCTAAGTACGGTTCATAACTTCAAGATGTAATTACTGACAATATTTTAAGAAAAAAAGTTCCCATAAACATGTGTCCGGAAATGCGTAGTTTCTGAGATACAGGGTGTCAAAGTTTTAAAAAAAACCGTTTATTTAGCTCAAAAATCCTTTTTCCAAGTGGTGGTCAGGATGTCAGCAGAGGTGGAGGTGTCCTAGTGGCACTTAAAAACAAAATACGAGTGGAGTCCTTTGAATGTCGGTGTTTGTCCGAAATCGATTGTGTTCTTTTAAAAATTAAATGTCATAACTTTACTAGTTTTTTGTCGTGTGTCTATATTCTACCAAATACAAGCCGAGATGGTTACATGTCTTATTTTGACTTTTTGGACTCGTTTTTTAAAGATGATGTGAATGTCATAAATAGTAGGGGATTTTAATCTGCCATACTTAAATGATAATATCTGTGATAAGAGTACCTACCTTGCTAGCTCATTTTCTGAGTCTGAATTTTCTTAGTCAATTTAACAATATAGAAAATTTTATGAATAGAAAGTTAAATTAAGTTATAAGCAACTTAGCAGCGATCTCAGTAATTAGATGCCACTAGTGAGTGAAGATAGCTATAGGTTTTTTATGTTATATTTAGGATTACGTCGTCGAACAAGGACAGACAATGTTGTCAATACCTATTTTTTTTTTTTTTTTATAATTTACCATAATGTCATGTGTCAATCATTCTAAAAATAACGAAATGAAAATGTTTATACAAGTCATGCAACGTCGCGCGCCGTTGCCAACCAAAAATATCTGAAATTCCCTTAAAGTCTGTTTTTTTTTTAAAGATAATTCCCCAAGTCAAAAATTTAGTAACTTTGTTGGCAACACAAGCCTTTTCTACATGAAAAATTTGAAAGCATCGACAATTTTACATTGTATTGCCAACATAATGTCATTTTGACTTTTATCTTTCAAAAAAAAGCAGATTTTACTTTAAATGCGTTAAAAAGTACTTTTAGTTTTGTTAGGTTGGCAGCAGAAATTCACTGAATCTGACGTCATCCTAAATATAGCGTAAAAATCCTATACCACCCCTCACTGTATTTGAATATAGAAGGCGAGTCAGATAGTCCAGAATAAATTAAACCTGTATTCAAATACGATTATGCCAATGGTGATTTCTACAAACTTTATAACCTACTTAAAAATTCTGAATGGAAGGATGTTGAGCTTGTATCAGATCCTAATGCCGCTTTATCACTTTTTTATGCGAAAATGTATAGTCCGTTGCATGGTTCTTGAGCTACGACTACTGAATAGACAGAGGGAACAATGGGCTATTGCTGCGTTGTCATATCAAAAATATTTATTATTACATGAAAATGAAGGAAATTTTATTGCAATTTTCATGTATTAATAAATATTATCGATATGACAACGCAGCAATAGCCCATTGTCCCCTCTGTCTATTCAGTAGCCGTAGCTCAAGAACCATGCAACAAACTATATAAATGTTTGGATGAAAGTATCCCAAAAAAATCTATTCAAAGAGGTCTGGATTAAGATATCCATACTGGTTCTCCTTGGATCAGGTTAAAGAATAGACTTCATAATAGAAAAACACCTATCTGCAGAGCATCTTTTGGAGTTCAAGACCTTGCGAGCTCTTATTAAAAAACAAACAGACTATGAATATTCTGCATATATTGCGAAAATTGAACAAAATGCTAATATTGATCCCAACAGTTTTTGGGGCTATACCGGGTGGGGCACGAAAAACTTTCCACCCAGGTTTTCTCAGGTGTTAGGTGTTTAATCAAAAATCGCTCAGACACGTCAATTTTTGTTTTTTGGGGGACACATTTTACTGGTATTTTCACCCCCTACCTGTGAACCCCTAAATGGGGGTGACAGGTACCCACAAAATTTCAAATGAAAAGGGGGGTCGAGTGATACGTCATTTGATAGATATTTTCATTAAGATTATATCCCCGAAGTTTCAAGTTGCTACTATTTACCCTGTCGAAATGGCGGCTTGTCAAAGTTAGGAAAAATCAATCTAAAAATGCTATGTGGTTTTTACCTGTTACCTACGCATAGGTGTGAGAGGTAAAAACTATACAGCTTAGATTATCGAAAACAAGCATTTATCCTAACTTTGACATGCCGCCATTTCGGCAGGGTTAATAGTAGCAACTTAAAACTTCGCGGATATAATTTCAATGATTATTCCACTCATGTGTTAGAAATCCCATAAGACAAGTGACGATTTTCAGAATATCAGCGAAAATTCTCTTTTCTTCCATATTTTTTGGATTCTCATACGTGAAATAATCCTCTAAATACCACTTGAGCTTTAAAATGAACCAGATAACTTTTCACTCATGCGTGTTTTCTTTGCAAATTTCACTCGTCCTACGGACTCGTGAAATTATAGAAAACACGCAATCGTGAAAAATTATCGGTAATTTTGAAGCTCTCGTGGTATTATCCCCGAAAATAGCTACCAAATAACATATCACTCGACCCCTCTTTCCATTTGAAATTTTGAGGGTACCTGTTACATGTTCATAGGTAGGGGGTGAAAATACCAATAAAATGTGTCCCCCAAAAAACAAAAATTGACGTGTCTGAGCGATTTTTGATTAAACACCGAACACCTGAGAAAACCTGGGTGGAAAGTTTTTCGTGCCCCACCCGGTATAAAATCTAAGAAGGGGGGATCTGGTATTCCCAAAGAGATCACTTATGGGGAAATGAGATTCTCTAATGATTTTGAAGTCGCCAATGCCTATGCACAATTATTTCAATCCGTTTTTCAACTGGATGAAGAGTACCCAAAGGTTCCTACAAATTGGGGTAGTTTTAACTTTCCTAAGATAACTGAACCTATTGTAAAGGACAGCATAAAAAAATTAAAGCCCAAAAAGAGTGTCGGTACTGATAATATTCCC